GAGCCCGATGCTAAGTGCCCTGCTCAAGCCTCAGCCACCTCCCTCGCCCCCAATCCCTTTTCACCCAGAGACGGCACAGAGCACAGGCCCGCCTTAGGCAGCTAGTGAGTTTAAAGGCAACACGAAGGCAAAAGCTGAATGTGACCAGAATCCCCTTGGAAAGTCCCTTGTAAGGCCCACGACATTCAGGCTGTGTCTAGTGGCATCGAACGACGGCCCGGCGCCCAGTGCGTGGGCTCGCTCTAAACTGCACTGTCAGAGGCCGGCCCCGCTGAACTGTGTTCAAGGTTATTCCTAAGTGCCAGGCTTTAAATACCTCCGCTCCTACCTGCCTCCTTGATCAACTGCCTATGAGTCACCCACTAGCATTTCGGCAGCTACCTACCTGTATAGCCCAGAGATGGCCGAGTCTTGGATAAAATCCATCCTCGCCCACATAAGGAAAAAAACCCCAAACCATCCAGTTTCCTGTCCCATCATAGGTCACCTCTAGGTAAGATCAAAGAGCACAGGCAGCACAGCCAGGTTCCTGGGAATCTGCATCTAAGCAAAGGGCAGGAGTGTTCTGGGCTGAATCGTGTCCCCCCAGAACTCCTATGTTGAAGCCCTAACCCCTAGGACCTCAGGACATGGCTGTATTTAAAGACAGGGCCTTGAAAGAGGTAATTAAGATGAAATGAGGTCACAGAGGTGGGCCTAATCCCACCTGACTGGTGTCCTTAAAAGAAAAGATTACGCCCCACCGGTGTGGCTCAGTGGTTGAGCGTCAGCCTATGAACCAGGAGCTTACGGTTCCATTCCTGATCAGGGCACATGCCCGGGTTGCAGGCTCAATCCCCAGTGGGGGGCATGCAGGAGGCAACCGATCAGTGATTCTCTCTCATCATGGATGTTTCTATCTCTCTCTCCCTTCCTCTCTGAAGTCAATAAAAACCTATTTAAGGGGGAAAAAAATCTACGAGCTGTCTTTAAAAACCAAAAAAGAGAAGATCAGGACACAGAGCAAAGGATGAACACGTGAGGACACAGTGACAAGGCGGCCGTCTGCAAGCCAAAGAGAGCAGCTCAGAGGAAACCAACCCTGCTGACCCCTTGATCTCAGACTCCCAGCCTCCAAAACAGTGAGACAATGACTTTCTGCTGTGCAAGCCCCCCGCCCAAGCAGACCAAGACAAGGAACATGTAGGGACAGAGCCAGAGGAAGCCACTGACGACAGCTGCTGGTCAAGGCAGAGGCCAGGCTCGCCCGAGGCGCACGCCCTTAGAAAGCCTGTTTGGTCCCAGTGCCTCGTGCCCAGGGAGTGCCAACCCTGCTGCAGACCTCCGCCTGCATTCTGCCAACTCCTTACCGCCTCAATGGTTACGTCAGCCACAGCCCGGGGCACTGAGGGCAGCCTCGAGACCAGTGGTTCTCAACCTTCCGGCCCTTTAAATACAGTTCCTCATGTTGTGACCCAACCATAAAATGATTTTCGTTGCTACTTCATAACTGTCATGTTGCTACTGTGATGAATCGTCATGTAAATATCTGATATGCAGGATGGTCTTAGGCGGCCCCTGTGAAAGGGTCGTTCGACCGCCAAAGGGGTCGCGACCCACAGGTTGAGAACCGCTGCTCTAGACCATCAGCTCTGCTGGGAGAAATGAGGCTCAAACCCCTGGTTAGGAAGAGAGGCAGGAGGGGATGCTGCCCGCCTCTGAGCAGGACCCTCAGACAGCCACTCCCACGAGCTACAAGGCGCCAGAAACCCCATGAGGTGTAACCACGACTTGCTGACTGTATCATCAAGCTCGGTGATAACACAGACGAATGGAACGAGGGGCCTCCTGGGTGATCAGATGGCTAAATAAGTAATTAGCACGCAGTAAGCCACCTGTAATAGTGGAAGCCTCATCAAGATACCGAAGCAGAAAAGGGCAGTCATTAGCCCTGTCCAAGAGGGGAGGTTCAGAGGGATGGCATTCTCGGCAGGATTTCCAAGACAGGACTGAAGCTTCTGAGCAAACAAGAGGCCGGGGAAGGCATTCTGCAGTGAGGTGCCAGCAAGGCGGTTTCAGAATGCACGGCGCGGACTCGCAAACTAGCAGCGCGACGTTGTGGGCGAAGGCAGGAAATGGGGCAGATCAGGTTAGAAGGTGCTAGGACACCCCAGGCCTCGTGTTTGGCCCAGAGGTTGGCCTTCATCCTGCAGGGGCGAGAAGGTCCCGGGGAGCTTCGAGCCGGGGAAATGACCGGGCTGGATTTGTGTTTTAGAAGGAATGCTCAGACAACAGGGAAGGGGGAGGTTGGATAGAAGGTCAATGCCAAAATCGGAGCATGAACTAACCAAGGGGAGAGCAGGCCTCCTGGACATCTTTTTCTTCCTCAGACGGGCCCTGCTGTTTTCCCAGCCAGGCTTGGTGCAGGACACCCACTCGTTCTTAGAGGTTTCAGCAAATGTCCCAGTAAGAGGGTGAGACACTAACGCACTGTGCAGAAAGGACCATTTCCCTGCACCCTGTCAGTTTTATATTTTGTGTGGGTTTTTTTTTTAAGAAACAAATCCAGCCCTAGCTGGTTTGGCTCAGTGGATACAGTGTCGGCCTGCAGACTGAAGGGTCCCGGGTTCGATTCCGGTCAAGGGCACACACCAGGTGGCAGGCTCGATCCCCAGTAGGGGGTACGCAGGAGGCAGCCAATCAATGATTCCCTCTCATCATTGATGTTTCTATCTTTCTCTCCCTCTCCCTGCCTCTCTGAAATCAATAAAAATATATTTAAAAAAACAAACAAACAAACAAATCCAGCCCAGCCATGGTGGCTCAGTGGTTGAGCACTGACCCACTGACCCATGAACCAGGAGGTCACAGTTCAATTCCCAGTCAAGGCACATGCCCAGGTTTTGGGCTTGGTCCCCAGTAGGGTGTGTGCAGGAGGCAGCCGACCAATGATTCTCTCTCATCATTGATGTCTCTCTCTCTTCCCTTCTCCCTTCCTCCCTGAAATCAACAAAAAAAAATTAAATAAAATAAAAAAGAAACAAACAAACAAACCCAAATAAGCCACCAACTTCGCTACGACAAGGACAGTCCCCTGAACGGCCTATCCAAGGTTAGCTTCATTGTCTTTTTGGACTATTTCCTACTCATCAAGCCCTATCATCGGTTCAAAACCTGATCTTGACATAGAATTAGGCTGTTCTCCCCACGTTGATCCTGCAGGAGAGCGGGACACCCTGCCACCAGCCCTGATACTTTGGAAGGACTTACAAGGGGCACCCACGACAGTGATCGGGATTCCGATTTAGAATCTTGAGCCTATTTCCAGAATGACCCACACCCTTAGCGCATCAACCACCCTCCCTTGCAGTCCATTCCCTTGTTGGCCATGGAGGGCCCACCCCCTCACTAGGAGGGGGTCCTACTCTGAAGTTGAGACTGTGGCACGTTCTTTACACCCCTTTCCCAAAGCACCTTACACTGTGGCATGAGAGGGAAGATCAGAGAAGCCCTGCTCCTTACTAGCTGTGTGACCTTGGACAAGTTACTTAACCTCTCTGAGGCTGTTTCTTCTCTCTAAAATACAGATAATAATAACTCTATCTTGAGGTTATATGATGAGATAACATATGTTAAATGCTAAGGGCCAGTGCTCACATTTATTAAGAGCTTATGAAGGAAAAAAAGAGGAGGAAAAGAATCCAGAGGAGCAGGAAGAGAAGAGAAAAGGGAGGAGGAGTGGGGGAAGAAACTTTGGAGTCAGATGGTCCTGGGTTCAAATCTCTTCTCCACCACTTGCTGGCTGTGTGGCATGAGGCAAGTTACTTACCCTCTCTGACTCACTGGTTCCTCCTCTATAAAATCCTTGCAAAAGGATTTTAGTTAAGGTAAGAGATAAGAAAGAGCCAAACATTAGGTCGGCAAGTTCTAGGGCATTTAAGAAGTGCGCCTGAAGTCAGGGTCACTGCTTTCTCAGCCCTGGTTTACAGTCTAACCCTCCTGGCCTACCCAGCTCTGCCGCCCCAGCTGGGTGAACATGTCACAGCAAGGAGAGGCCAGTTTACAGGGAGCCAGGCCGCCTAATGCACTCCGGTCCACAGGCCCACTGCTCTCTTCATCACTCCCAAGAGATGCCTGCTGAGCTCCCGGCAACCAACTGTATTCTCTCTGGACAAGAGGGACAGGAGGGCAGGCTCGTCTTCGCCTGGACCCATGTATCTCCCTCCCCTTCTGAACTGGAGGAGAGCAACAGCCCTCCACCCTGGCTCAGGCACTCGGCCGGCGGATGAAACGCCCATTTGCTAAAGCGCTAGTCCCTGCCGTCTGAGGCCCCTTCATAAAAGGCAAGTTATTTTAAGCCTCTCGTGGACCCGAGGCCCCAGCAAGTGAAGCAAATGGCTTTGGGACAAGCACCAGAAAGGGTTTTAAGGCTTCTCATTCTGCCAGAAACACAATTAAACTTTAAAACATTTAAAGCTCACAAACTCTCTCAGGTTCACCTTGCGCTAGGCTCTGGTTGAGAAGAAGACAAAGCAAAACCCCAAACCCTCAAATCAATGGATCACGATAAATGGTTGCGCCCCCCCAACCCCCTCATCCAGGGCCACACAGGGACAGAGCCCCAGCGGGGAGCAGCAGTCAACTCTGCCCTCTGCCAACAGCGTCAGAGTGGGACGGACGGAGGCCGGTGTTGAAATCTGTTTCTTTTTTTAACCAGGAATGGGGCAGGGAAGCTAGCCAAGGCGCAGGTGTGCCCGAGGTCCCCCACCAAGCATCCAGGAACAAAGCCAGGTGCAAAGGGGGGCCAGGAGCTGAGGGAGGCAAGGGCTCCTGGAAGCATCCCTAAATTGGGGGTGCAGGATTAGGACCCTGCAGTCTCCCGGGAATTGGTGTCAGACCCTAAGGGTCAAACACAGAGTCAGGCACTCGGGGACCGTGTCTACAATCAGACCATCAAGCCCACAACTCACCCCCTGAGGTTGCCCCCCACCCCCCACCCTCAGTCCACCCTACCATCTTACTTCTGTTAGGCAGCTCCTCTTGGCCCAAGCCATTGGAAGGAGCCAGCGGGGCACTGCCCCCCTCCTCCAAGGTCAGGATGAGGGGAACATCGTCATCCAAGTTCATGGCCATGCTCTTGTCTCCGTAGGCCTCAGGATGTGATGTCCAGGGCTGGAAATAGTCTCTGCTCTGCGCTCCCTTTCAAAGCCACTGGCCCAGAGATGCTTCTCAGAGACTCCTCCATTTGAGGCATCATCTAGAGTTTGGGGAATTAAAAAACAAAAAATTATTAAAATGCAACCACCACTGATGAAAATGTTCTGCCAGTTAGATAGTGGCGATGGTTGCTTAATCTTGGGAAAACACTAAAAACCACTGAATGGTACCCTTTAAAATGACGGAGTATTGCAATATAAAATAGCATTAAAAATGAGAGGAGCCCTAACTGGTTTGGCTCAGTGGATAGAGCGTCGGCCTGTGAAGGGTCCTGGGTTAGATTCCGGTCGAGGGCACATGCCCGGGGTTGCGGGCTCGATCCCCAGTAGGGGGTGTGCAGGCGATTCTCTCTCATCATTGATGTTTCTATCTCTCCCTCTCCCTTCCTCTCTGAAACCAATAAAAATATATATGTTTTTTTTAAATGAGAGGAAAACTCTGCAAGAACAAATACTGCAGTTAATGGTAATTACATCTGGAGATTAAGATTATGACTAATAGCCCTAATCAGTTTGGCTCAGTGGATTTAGCATCGGCCTGCAGACTGAAAGGTTCCAGGTTTGATTCCGGTCAAGGGCATGTACCTTGGTTGCGGGCACATCCCCAGTGGGGGGTGTGCGGGAGGCGGCTGGTCGATGTTTCTGGCTCTCTGTCCCTCTTCCTTCCTCTCTGTGAAAAATCAGTAAAATATATATTTTTTTAAATGATTATGACTAATATATTCCACCTATACCCTCTTGGTCCTTGTTTGTGTGTGTTTCGTAAAGATTTTGACAACTTAAAAAATATATAACCATTAAAATAATTGTAGTTAATACTTGATGAGTGCTTACTATGTACCAGGGCCTCTTCTAGCAATTTTTAGGTAAAGCTGATTGAAACTCATAATAGATAGGTAGGATTAGTATCCCCCATAACAAAGGGGGAGACTTTAGGCTCAGAGAGGTTAAGTAACTTGTCCAAGAACACACAGCTTTGAACTATGCAATTGGACTCCAGCCCTATGCTCCTAACCACTATACTACAATTCCCCCATGTCCACGCCCTGGTATTTAGGCAGCATTTAGCTCCAATGACCTGGAAAAAGTTAGTGGCCAGGTCACCTACACTTGCTCATAGCATGCTTTTTTTTTTTTAAGTTTTGGGGTTTTTAAAAAATCCTCACCCAAGAATATTTTCTCCATTGATTTTTAGAGAGCATGGGAGGAAGGGAGGGAGGGAAAGAGGGAGGGAGGAAGGGAGGGAGGAAAACATTGATTGGTTGCCTCCTGCATGTTCCCGGCCAGGACTGGGGAACCTGCAACCAAGGTATGTGTTCTTCACTGGGAATCGAACCCAAGACCCTTTGGTCCACAGGCCCATGCTCTAACCACTGAGGCACTGGCCGGGGCCATAGCACTCTTATATAGGCATTGTTCTCCTAGATTTAGGTGTTTGAGGAGGAAGGGAAAGAGGACCAGGGTATTTTTTTAAGTGATGTCCAGCGATGTCACACAGCAAAAGCCCTCATCCTGAGTTCCCGATTTAAAACTCTCAGAACCAGCCTGCTACAGTTCCTATTTATACTCATTCCCATTTCCGCTGGGGAGGACACCAAAAAAAAGCCCCGACTCAGCAGGTCTGCTGGCAGACCTTTGAACTGGAAAACAGCAGCAGGTTCCTTCCTCAGGCGGGTTCAGTCCTCTCTGGCTCCTGACTAACCCACTGAATGGCAACCCCGCAATTTACTTCCTCCACAAATAACCCCAAGCAGGGCCCTGGGCCTCCGTATCGTCCTAAAACAAGGCAGCAGAAGCAAGCACGTTCCACGGGCTGCTGCTGAGCCTGTAGCTCTCTGTCTAGCCAACTCCCTGGGAGATTTCTGTTGCTGTTTCCTCCCGAGCTGGGGATTTCTTTTGCTTTTAGATCTCAGGACTGGGGAGACAGAGGAGGAAACCCCAAATGAGACACTACTATTTGGCTAGCTTAAGGATTTTGTTTTATTTATTTTCTTCTTGGTTCAACTTTTTTTTTTTTTTTTACCATAGATATTTTCAAACATATTCAAAGTAGAGAGAACATGTCAATGAACTTCCTCGTAGCTTTCGCTCAGTTTTGACAATTAAAAACATTTTGCCATCCGATTGTGCCGTCGTTGAGAAATACCCACTTCGCAGATGAGGAAACTGAGGCTTAGAGGGATGATGAACTCGACTGCCTCTTCTAAGCTGTTTACTGGGCCCAGAGTTCAGTCCAGGCAGCCTGACCACAGGGACATCCCCTGCCCGGCCTCCTCCCAGAACCAGTCCTGCTATCGGAACTCAATCAAGCCCGGCATTTTAAGAGGGAAAAGTGAGGTCCCGAGCGGGGAAGGGGCTGGCCCAAGTCCTAGCCCAGGGCTCCTGCGGGCTTGGCCTCTCGCTCTATGGAGGACGCGGGGGGAGGGGTCACCCCTAGGGAACAGGGCCCAGGGGAGGGCCAGCAGCCACCGGCTCCTGCACCCTGACCCGGCAAGAGGGCGCCTGGGCGACCAGGAGCAGGTGAGGAAGGAGGGGAGGGAAGAGGAATGCGGGCTCCAGCTCCACGTGCTCCCAGCCCGGGTCGGGAGGGCCCCCCGAGCGGGGGTCGCCCCAGGAAGTCGGGGACCAGGAGAGGGGGTGCAAAGCCCCAGCCTGGGCTGGAGGGAGAAGCGCGCGAAAACTTCCCCGCAGTCCCTCCGCCCGCCCGCCCGGCCCGCCTCCCACACTCCAGCGCCCAGCTGCACCCCCTGACTCGGCGCCCTCTGACCCCTGCCCCCTGCCCTCTCCTCAGGCCATCCCTCGCACCCCTCGGATTCTTACACGCGCCGCCCAGCAGCCCGGACCGCGCGCCGGGCTCGGCACCGTGCAGCCCAGCCTGCTGGCGCCGCCGCCGCCGCCAAAGCCCCGAGCCCGGAGTTGTTTGCAGCCGCCGCCGCCGCCACTTCAGCCGCTGCCACCACAGCAGCTGCGCCAGCTCTCTCATCCGCCGCCTACCCGCAACCCCGCCGGCCCCGCCCCATTCCTCCTTAGCCGCGGCCCATTCGCTAGATAGGCTGCCATGCTGAGTTCTCATTGGCCAATCCTCAAGTCCTTCCCCAGTTCTCGCCCGCTGCCGATGCAGGACCCCCTGCCCACCTCCTAGAGAAGGGGCGGGGTTGTGAAGCTCCGCCCCTTTTCCCCCTCTCATCCTCTCTGCCGAACTCGTTCAGCCCAACTCTGAGGCAGTCCGTGTCTTTCAATTGGTGGAGGGTCAGAGAGACGGTGCCTCTGATTGGTCAGGCCCCGGCAGAACTGAACGGAATGGCATGGTGAAAAGGAACGTCAATCAGGCTCGGAGTCCCGCCTTCTGAGATTGGCGGGTAACCTAGCAACGCAGGGACCTCCGGAGGTAACGTTAAGTAGAAAAACCCGGAGCCCTCGGAGCGGGTGAGTGACCAGGTGGGGAAGGGCTGGGAATGAGAGGGAAATGCGGAAAGGCGGCTAGCCTGCTATCCTTTGGCTCCCTGCGGGATCAGTGACCCTCATCGCGATCCCATCCCCGCCCCAGGTCCCTGCTCTCCAGCCCTCGCCTACAAGGACCACTGGACATCTTCCGTGACCCTGCCTGTACTCCGTCCCTCCGTTATCATCTCCATGGTCCTGTTTTCTCATCTCTTAAACACGGGGCCAAGTGGAGTCACATCGTAGTTAACTAAGTTTATAAGTCCCCTACCATTCTACCCAAGGGCCATATATTCCAGGGTAAGCGTGCAATGCAAGGCATCTCAATGGAATGAGTGTTTATATTAGGTCATTTTGATTATGCCCATTTTTGCCTTTTGTGCTAACTTGAAAACGTAACTCCCTGCCCTGACCCGGTTGCTCAGTCGGTTAGAGCATCCTCCCCATACACCAAGGTTGCAGGTTCAATCCCCAGTCAGGGCCCATACAAGAAGCAAGCCATGAATGCATACATAAGTGGAACAACAAATGGATGTTTCTCTCTTTCTCCCCTCCTTTCTCTAGCTAAACTCAATAAATAAAAATTTTAAAAAACTTCATTACCATCCTTGTCCTTAAAATGTGCAATGACTTCCCCACAGTCCCTCATTTACATACTTAAGACACAGGGTTTGCTGTGAGGATTAAAGGAGGTAAGACAATGAGGAACTTGGCATGGAGCTGAGGAACATCGTAAGGACTCAGTAAAAAGTAGCATTTTTCCCCTTAAGACAATTCGACCTTGACTCTTCCTGCTTAAAAGAATTCCAACAGGGTTATCTCTTTCCATACCGTAAACATTCATACCTTCAGTCAGAGTGCCTGGTACTGGGGGCTGGGATGGAGCAATCAGTAACGGAAACTTCATTCCTCCCCTCATGCAACTTGTCTAAAGTGAGAGGGAGAGATTAATCAGATACTAATATACAGGTCAACGTGAAATGACACCTGCAGGGATTCAGTTCCACAGTGATGGGGGGACGAGGTCAACAAATCCTCTCCTCCAAAAGCCATGAGGGCCGCTGTGACGGCTGCCTTTTCTAACCAATCGAATCAGAGAGGCTTTCTTGTTCCCTAGTCGCCTGTGAGGTGCCGGGGAGGAAGTGAGAACCATAACTAGGATAACCAGGCCAGGCCAGGGAAAGGGCCAGGGACTGAAAGTGGTGCAAGAGTCAAGAGTGAGAAGCAGTGCGTTCCAATATAAAAACGTTGCTAGAGGAAGGCAAGAGCCCCATGGTCGGCAAACTGCGGCTCGGGAGCCACATGCGGCTCTTTGGCCCCTTGAGTTTGGCTCTTCCACAAAATACCACGTGCGGGCACGCACGTACAGTGCGATTGAAACTTCGTGGTCCATGCGCAGGAGTCGGTTTTCGGCCTGGGCGAGTCTATTTTGAAGAAGTACTGTTGATATTTGGCTCTGTTGACTAATGGGTTTGCCGACCGCTGGTCTAGCCCACCGTTTCCTTTCCCAGATGTCACCCGCCACTCAGAAAGCCCCCAACAGCCTTTTGATGGAAAGCAGTTGTGACAGAGGCTGTGGGGCCACAGCATCAGTCCCCCCACGTCCGAGCTGGATGGGCTGCCCAGGGCATCCCAGACAGACTCTGCCCTCCGGAACGCGTCCCAGCCATCTGTGCTCCGACATAAATGCCCGAGTTCTAGCTTGGCGTTCCCACTTGCAGTGGGAAACGGGATTAAAGGGGCCAGTCTTCCCTGCCTGCTCCATTGCTAGGTGCCCCCACACTTTCCTTTGTCCCCAGGAGAGACGAGCTGAGGGCAATGAGGCCGATGGAGCACCTGACTCACGCCTGAACATATTGTAACACTTCCCTTTGAAGAGGGCTTTTAACTCTCCACAGGGCTTTCCCCTGTGCCACACCCTCCCTGCTCTACCAGCTCCCTTGGGTGTGGCTGGGACAGGTGTATCCCCAGGAGCCAGAGAGATAAGGGACTCGGACTCGCCCAGACTTATTCCCAGAGCCTCTGACGGGCGAGTGTTGCACCCAGGTCTCCTAATACCAGTTTGTGACTCTGATCTTGATTCTGTAACTGAAAGACAATAATAAGTCTTTATTTTATTAATTTATTTTGTTTGGGGTTTTTGTTTGTTTGTTTGTGTTTGTTTTTGTTAATCCTCACCCAAGAATATTTTTCCATTGACTTTTTAGAGAGAGTGGAAGGGAGAGGGAGAGACAGAGAGAGAAACATCGATGTGAGAGAGAGACGCATTGATTGGTTGGCTCCCACACAAGCCCCAACCAGGGCCGGGGTTCGAGCCTGCAACCTGGACCAGAATGGAACCTGGGACCCTTCCGTCTGCAGGCCGACAGTCTATCCACTGAGCCAAACCGGCCAGGGCCCTGGTGGGGGCTCAGGACGACACAGGGTCAGCTTGTCAGACAGAGCTGGACAGACTTCCTTTGAACCTGGATGGAGCACTAGACCTGTGATGGAGGCCAGGAGTTTACAGCAGAGCGAGGCCTTTGCGGTCTAGACCAGTGGTTCTCAACCAGGAGCACCCCCACGCCACACTCCGCCCCTGCGGGGACATTGGCAACATCTGCAGACACTGCCTCCAAGTGGCCAGAAACGGGTCGTGGGAGACGTGATGCTGGCATGGAGTCGGTGGAGGTCAGGGATGCTGCTCTCAAATAATAGCAGCAGGTTGTATCCTAACAGCCAGTCCAATGGCTTTACCACGAGGGCTTTTCAACAAAGGTTTTTCTTTTTAACCACAAACCAGAGAAATACATTCTCCTTCTTGACCCAGCAGATCTGTTTAATTACAAATGAGTACTTATTCCATATAGTGCACTCTAATATTTTCTATTGTCTTTCATTTATTTTTTTTAAATACACACACACACACACACACACACACACACACACTAGTGGCCCAGTGCATGAAATTCATGCACATTAAAAGGGAATTAATTAGAGGAAATATTTTAATATTGCTATTTGCCCTTTCTCTATAATAGAAGTGTCAGAGATGAAAGAAAATTAGTAAAATGTATATAAAAATCTCTCTCCTGTCAGAGTCTGGGGAGCGCCATGGGACCCAGAGTCAAGTCTACACCCACCCGCACGTGCCTCAAAATCGCACGAGACCAAGACCCAGCCGGCCCCACCCCCATCAAGCCCCACCGGGCGTGGCCTCAGGTCCCCTGGCCCCAGCACTGGAGGAGCGGGGGGAGGGGGCGCACGTGACCTCAGGTCCCCCAGCCCTGGCACATGAGGGCATGATGACCATTTGCATATTAGCTCTTTATTATATAAGATTATATATATATATAATTTCTTTATTGATTTCAGAGAGGAAGGGAGAGATAGAAATATCAATGATGAGAGAGAATCATTGATTGGCTGCCTCCTGCACCCTCTCCACTGGAGAGCGAGCCTGCACCTGGGCATGTGACCTTGACCAGAATCAAACCTGGGACCCTTAGTCCGCAGGTTGACGCTCTATCCACTGAGCCACACCAGCTCGGGCGTCTTTCATTTATTTTTAACTGGTGAATGGATTTCACTCACTAAAGGGGCACAACCTTTGGTTTAAAAAAGACACCTCTTCAACATAATCTGTAAGCCAGGAAAAGCCAGTGTTTTGCATTTTGTAAGGTTATAATTTAAATATTTTTTTAAGTAAGAGAAGTTTATTTTAGAAGGATTCTAAACTCCTTACTAGGAAATTCTTCCTTCTGTCTGCAACATCCAAAATGTTCCTATCACAGTTGGATGTAACTGGAAATAGACACTCCTAAAACTACACTTTCATCAAAAGAGGGATTAAAAATCACGATGAATTAATTTGTAAGGAGGAGGAAACTGGAGAATGATGACTAGTTCAGTGGATCTCTGCTCTCCTCTGGCCAGGCTGTTTTTATTGATGAGAGAGAGAGAGAGAGAGAGAGAGAGAGAGAGAGAGAGAGAGAGAGAGAAACATTGATGTGAGAGAGAAACATCGATCAGTTGCCTCCTGTACATGCCCCGACCAGGTATTGAACCCACAAAACCTAGGTATGTGCCCTGACCAGAAATTGAGCCAGGGACCTTTCAGTGCGTGAGACAATGCTCAACCAGCACCAGCCAGTGCAAGCCTTGCTTTTTGACAATATATATTTTTAAAAACTATGAATATTCATATTTGTGGTTGTTAAGTAGATTGACTGCTATAGGAACTAAATCTTATCTTTTTCTAAAAAATATTCTTTTATTGATGTCAGAGAGGAAGGGAGAGGGAGAGATAGAAACATCAATGATGAGAGAGAATCATTCATCGGCTGCCTCCTGCACGCCCCCTACTGGGGATTGAGCCTGCAACCCAGGCATGTGCCCTTGACCAGAATCAAAGCTGGGACTCTTCAGTCCACAGGCCGACACTCTATCCACTGAGCCAAACCAGCCAGGGCCTCAATCTTATCTTAAACGCCTCTGTTCCCTAAGTCTCCGCTTGACAGGATGCACTGGAACTGAACCAGCAAAGAATCATTTGACTGTGTCCACACTGAAGTCAATCTTAAAATTGGGAGACCGGACAGAATAGTGGTTATGAGGCACAGGCTCCTGAGACAGGCTGCCTGGGCTGAAATGCCAGCTCTATCACTTACTAGCTGTAAACTAAGGGAAACTTCTAACCCCTCTCTACCTCCCTTTTCTCCTCTGTAAATGGAGGTAATAAAAGCTCCAACCTCATCAGGTTGTTATGAAAAATAAAGGAGTTAATTCATGTAAAGAATTTAGAATAGCCCTGGCTGGTTTGCTTAGTGGTTAGAGCGTTGGACCATGGACTGAAGGGCCACTGGTTCAATTCCTGGTCAAGGGCATATACCTTGGTTGCAGGTTAGATCCTGAGCCCCATCAGGGCGAGTGCAGGGGCAATCAGTCTATATGTCTCTCTCTCTCTCTCTCTCTCTCCCCCCTCCCCCCCATCCTTCTCCACTTTTACTCTCTCTAAAAATCAATGGAAAAAATATCCTCCTCAGGTGAGGAATAAAAAAAAAAAAAGAATTTAGAATAGTGTTTGACACATAGTATGTTTTCTGGTATTCCTTAAAATGAGATTCCCCCATCTGCCCCCCACACACACATAGTCCAGTTTTCTTTTCTTTTTTTAAATTATATTTGTATTGATTCCAGAGAAGAAGGGAGGAGAGAGATAGAAATATCAATGATGAGAGAGAATCATTGATCAGCTGCCTCCTGCACGCCCCACACTGGGGATCGAGCCCACAACCCAGGCCTGTGCCCTGACCGGGAATCGAACCGTGACCTCCTGGTTCATAGGTCGACGCTCAACCACTGAGCTCCCAGTTTTTCTCAGCACCCTCTGACTTCTCCACGCACCAGTGTTGGGTTTGTGGGGTAGTTGTGAGGTTAAATGTTCTTCCCCTTTTCCTCCTAAGGGGGAAAAAATATAATTTACCTCAAAACCTTTTCTTTTCTTTCAAAATGTTCTGAGAGTGAGAGTCATAAGATATCTAACCAGACCCCGTGAATGAAGCTGAGGTATAATTTGCATGATAAAGATGTATTTCCATTTATAAAGTCCATCAGCAGAATTAATGACAAATAAAGGGAAGATCCAATTAAAGTTCCCCACCCATTAGCAATCTTGCTTCAACTCTCAGGGCAGGAATTTTCAAAGGAGAGGCTGAAGTTGGAAATGATTTCAACATTAAGGTTGGTGGCATTAAAAAAAGGACACGGAATGGTCATATTAGAATTCAAGGAAAAGAGATTCTCCAGTGATTTCTGTCATCACAGTCAGACACGCTTCCCCCGATCCTAGTTCCACGGGCTTTTTCTTGTTCACCCAAATGAGCTGTCAAGAACTGATGGGCGTCATCATAATCAAAGAAAACAAGTTTGCCCTTTAAAGCAAAAGAGGTAATTTGGCTGAAAGCAAATTGGAAACATTTCATGTAACGTTGCATTTCCAGCCGCCATCCCCGAAGAATTGGGGCGTTTTGATTTATGCCTGCGAGGTTTGGGGGGAGGAGGAGGAGGAAAAGGCGGGGGGAGGGGGGGCTGAAGTGCGTTCATTAACAGCTTTGGTCCCATTCGTCCTGTGGCCATAGGGCACAGATCCTTCATCCTCGGGGAGGATGGTCCGTGGCCATCCTTAGAACGTTATCTTCAGGAAAAAGCCTTAAAGGAACTCAGGAGATTGAAGGAAAAGCAGGAAATGGGTGAGGATGAAAGGGATGCCTTTCTCCTCCACTCAGTCCTCAGCTCCCCGAGGCTTCTGGGGTCCCGCCGGCCCGGCCCAGAACAGGGCAGCCTCGGCCTCTGAACCGGCTCCCTTTACCCTTGTTTTCGTCACTTCCGGCATTTCTTTGATTCCCACTCCTTCTCCGTTTACTCTTCCTCCTCCTCTGCACTGATATCTCTGGGGCCCGCTCCATCTTGTGTTGCCTGTGCCTAGGCTGTGTGGTCAGCTAGGGTTCTTTGGTCGCAAGCAACAGAAACCGGCCCCGCCTAAACGAACCGTGAACGGTGACGGAAAAGCTGAAGAAGCAGGGTCCTCAGAACCCACCAGTGGCAGGCATCAGCCGCCACCATCTCCCACCTACATGGCCCTTGGAACTCCCACGAGGGCAAAAGCAGGGCTCTCGGATCGCAGCCCCACCAGGACTGCACACAGCGGGGGAGAGGATCTGAGTCCTGAAAGGGAAACGGGGCTGTCGCCTGACGAAGGGAAAACGGATCACAGGAAGGCCAGCACATCCTGTCCGCTGTCTGCTCTGGTTACGGCAGCTGGAACTCAGGGAGTTTAAACACTGAGCATTGTTCTCCCTTCCAAACGGCCTCTCCGTTTCCCTAGTGACTCCGGGGCCCCAAAGTTCTCTCCCTGTCACCCAAACCCGAAGCTGTCTTTCACTCCTCAAGTCCTGTTGGTTCCTTCTTCTGGTTTTCATGGGCTTGAACTCTGTCTGCAGCCTCCCCTCGCTGTGAAGGAGGCTGAGAAGGAGCGCAGTAAGTGTGTCCAGCCTGCACAATATAGGCAAGCACGTTGGGGCGGGGGTGGCGCCGGCCACAGAGGGTTAGGCATGGTGATAACCTAAAAGGAGAGTTCGACCAAGGCTGGAAGCCCAGGGAAGGCTTTGCTGAAGAAGTGACACGAACTGAGAATAAGGAATTAACTTGGCAAGAGAGAGAAAGGGGAGTGCATTGCAGGAAAAAGAAATAGCATGTGCAAAGGCCCTGAGGTGGAAGGTTTATAGCATCTCAATTTATCAGCCGGCCACCAGTCCTTTCCCTATAAATCTTCCACACAACAGATCTCTTTCAAAAAATCTGATTTTATCCTGTCGCACGTTGCCTGCAATCAAAATGGATCCCAGTGTCCTACCAGATCAAGTCCCCAGTCTGGTGTTGAAGCTGGTCATAATCTCCTCCTATTCTGGGACTACAGCTTTCTTCTCTTCCTCCTCTACTTGTTGAACCTTCGTGCATGCATGTGTTATATCCCAAACCAGGTTATAGACTCCGGCAGGACAGGAACCACACCTGGCTTCTCCCTCATATCCCCGGGGGCTCAGTAAAGACCAGACTAGATCTCTACAGGGATGATCTTTATTGCAGGGGGCAGCAGCAGATGTAAGCAGCTCTTTCATCATCTGAGCGAGAGATTACAAGGCCCCTGGTGGCAGAGAGGCTGCTGAAAGGGAGGACGTGGGGAGGGAGCTGTCGAGGAGAGATCACTGATAGGAGTGGGGGCAGATGGGATGTGTGGGGCGACGCTCAGGTTTCTGACTTGAGCCACTAGGATGGCCGATCATCAGGATGAGGCATAAAGAAGGAGCAGGGCAAGGGACGGGCACGTGGGGCGGATGGGGGGGGGGGGGGTCTGTCTTAGGTGCTTTCTGCTGGGAGCCCAGGTTCATCAGAGACTTGTGGATCTCCAACGGGGCTGAGACTCTAACCGGGAATCATCGCAGTCCTGGACCTGGGATTTCGGTTTCCCTGGATGAATAATATCAGTTATTATTTATTGAGCGCTCGCAATGTCAGGCCCCGTGCCAGAAACATCCCGCAGAAGCCGAAGATCCCTGTCTTATGGCCGATGAGGCCGGGGCTTAGGGGAATTAGATAAAAGCCCAGGCCCCCCAGCAAGGATCTGAACCCAAGCGGGGTTGCTGCAGAGAGCTCTCCTAGTCGTCATGCCACAGAGCGATGTGGGTTATTGATTTCTGATCGCCCCCGTAGATCTTTCCGAAGTGGTCTTTTACATAGGCGTTTTATTCTGTAATGGCTATAGCTTTCCAGAAAGCTTGCACAGATAATACAGAATTCCCGTATGCCCTCCATTGGCTCCCCCTACTGTTAACATCTTACATAAGCGTGTCATGTTTATCCAAACTACCAGTAAGACATTGACATTGATGCAGTGCTATTGACCAAACTATCCACTTGATTGGGATTTCACCAGTGTTTTTTTTACTAACGTCCTTGTTTCCCTTTCAGAATTCAATCCGGGAGACAGCGTTGCATGGAGCAAAGCTGTTTTTTAAACAATGTGTTTCAAAGTCATTGTCCGTCCCACCCTGATTTAAAAACCCGGCGCAAGGTGGGCTGTGCTGGCCCTAGTCCTGCTTGCTCTGTCCCTGTTCTGTTCTGTGTCTTGGGCTGTTGCTCCCCCACCCTCCCCCCCACCCCCACACCCCCCATCCCCAGGCTGCATTGCCCAGGCTCCCTTGTCAGTTGGTTCCTCACTGGGTTTGACCAATGGGAGGCACTGGTGTTAGACTGGAGGGCGGGGTGAAGGGAGAAGCCAGAGTCCTTCTCCCTCTTTGCTTTGGGCTGTTCGTGGCAGTGGCCACAGGTACTCTGGAACTGCAGCCTCTCCCGGATAGAAAACGGCTGGGGTTCCGGCTTCCCCCGGCTGACCCTGACCCCGAAGCTCCCCACCTCCTCCTGTGGTGGCTTCCTGCCACTAACAATTTAACCTTGGCCGGTTGGGGGGCTGGCAAGGGGGGACTTCACCTTGCCCTGGTTGGCCTCTCAACTCCTCTGGCACCTGTGTGACCAGTTTTCTGTACTTACAAATACTTAGAATGATGTCCACATTCCTGGTTGGCCCCTGCCTGTCACCTGTGCCTGAGACCCACCTCCATACTTGGCCCTCCTATCCCTGCGGCCCTGTCGCTGTCGCAAAGCCACCAACTGCTGTCAGAGAGGGGTTCTGTGGACAAGCTGTAGAGCGCCTGCGGGGACCCCTCAGTGCCAAGTTTATGGTTGCGGTGGCCACACCAGCCACACTGACGCCTGCACAGCTCTCCTAACTGCGTGCCCCTTCCTTTTTCAGGAAAACAGAGGCAGGAGGCCTGTCTAGCCTATCGAAGTCTCCCAGGGCCCACGAAGACCAAGGAGGCTGCTCGTAACATGGCGTCAGACATCCTGGCCGTGGGCGCCCTCTACCAGGTCCCTGACATCAACAAAATGAGGGCGATAGCAGAGACACCCCAAAAGGCAGCTTCCCCACTGAAACCCTTCACCCCCTTGAAGACCAAGCTCACCACCATCGAGACCAAGAGGATCATGTCCGTGCTGGATGAGACCATCCAAAAGGTGGAGCTGGTGACGCTGCTGTCCTACGTGGCAGCCAACGCCGAGGACCTGGAGGGCCTGCTGGGCGAGGACCTCGCCAGGGCGGTGCGGGAGCACGAGGACCTGTGCCAGGTGCTCACGGACAAGGTCAGCTACCTGCAGGAGGAGGAGATGCAGCTGCAGGCCGAGGAAGATTTCGAGGAGGAAGCCTGGTTCCGGGACCTCCTCCTCTCCATCGAGCTGCAGAAATCCAACCTCCTGCCGGTCATGGGGCAGATCAAAGACTCCACCAAGAACATCCTGAGACTCCTGCTCAGCCGCCCGCAGGCGGCCCAGCTCGTGCGGGCGCAGGCGCAGGAGAGGGGCCGGGGAGCCCAGGGCTTCATCGACAGCCTGGTGGAGCTCCGCGGCTTCCTGTTTGAGAAGCTGCTCACCTGCCCCATGGAAGCCAGAGACAAGAGCCAGTTCATCCAGGAGATCACGAAGCGGAACAGGAGGAACCAGGAGGTCATTGACACGCTTGAGAACGAACTGGAGGAGAGAATGAAGAACAGGGCTGCGGAGGTATCGCTTACAGTGTGGGCAAGTCCTGGAAGGAGCCCAAGGGCAGCCCAAACCTTCTGGCAGTTGGGTTCTCTCCGCGCCCCCCCACCCCCCGGGATTTAATGCTTTCATTCATTTATTCCATGAATATGGTTTTGAGTACTTTACGAGGTGCCAGGTCTTATAAATAAGCACATGGTCCCAGCCTCATGGGGTTCACAGTAAGGAAGATAGGATTTAAAGAGCTGGGTTCATTACAGTTTTAAAAAAATATGTATTTTTATTTTTTTCAGAGAGGAAGGGAGAGGGAGAGAGAGAATCATTGATTGGCTGCCTCCTGCACGCCCCCTACTGGGGATCCAGCCCACAACCCAGGCATGTGCCCTTGACCGGAATTGAACCCGGGAACCTTCAGTCCACAGGCCGACGCTCTACCCACTGAGCCAAACCGGCCAGGGCTGTCCCTATTTTTGAACCAACCGAGGGCCAGGGACAAGCCAGGCACTCAGGGAGAGCAGGTGGCAGTCCTGTGGGGTGTGTCTATCACACCTTCGTGCATCACGCTGTGTCTCTGCCAACTGGGCACCCCCACGGTGCCCCAGCAGGAGTGCCCCACTGTCCCAGCCCTCTCCCCTGCCCTCCACTCATGCCAGGAAAGAGAGGGGGTGGCCAAGAACCCGGGCTCTGGGTCAGACAGACCTGGCTTCAAATGCCGGACGGACGACTTGACCCCTTCGGCCTCCGCTTCCTGGCCTGTCATCACGCTGTCCCTGTGCCCACCGGCGGGGGGGGCAGGACTCGGCGAGGTGACCTCACAGCAATGGCTGGCGCCTGTGCTGAACCGTGGTCACGCAGGCGTTAACGCGGCCTCTCCTCTTCCGGGCCCAGGTGGAGAAGGAGAACTTTGTGATCCAGGAACTGAAGAACCACCTGCACCAGGTGCTCAAGTTCTCGGAGAACAGCCTGCTCCGCACCAAGCAGGAGGCTGAGAAGCAGCAGAAGGCGGACTACCGGGCCTCGCAGGGGCGGGCGGCCAAGATCCAGCAGGACATCCTGCAGCTGCGCTCGCAGTTCCACAGCCTGGTCATGGAGAACCGGGAGGCAGAGCAGGCGCTCAGGAAGGTGCCCTGGGAGCCGCCCGGCAGCGGGGACAGGGCGGAGGGGGCCCAGCGTGGAGGGCAGGGCTGCCCCAGCCGCCAGGAAGCTCAGGGTGGAGCCAGTGTCCCCTGGGAGGCAGGAGGGTGCAGCGCAGGGGCCTGGGGGCAGAGATGGCCTGTCCTGCTACTGCACGCCCCCTCCGTGAGCTGGGGCAGGTTCCCTCGTTCCCCTGGGCCTGGCAGGGATGATGAAACCCACCTGTCGATACCGTACAAAGGACCCAAAGGAGCATGTGAACCTCAGGCCATTACCGAGCCAGTTTCCACAGCTTTAAAGTGAACGGGATCAACTCAGTCTTAACAAGAATTCAGTGAGATGACAGGCAGAGAGCTGGTGCAGAGTCGGTGCTCAGTTCACACCATTCCCCCCGTGCCTCTCCCTCATCTCAGCCAGGCCCCAGGCCCCTGTGCACTCGCGTGTTTTGCAGTCCCTCTCCCGACGGAGGGCACCCTTTCTAATGCTTGTTCCCGGTTTCATTTTAGTGTCAGGACTTTTTTTTTTAAGTATATTTTATTGATTTTTTACAGAGAGGAAGGGAGAAAGAGAGGGATAGAGAGTTAGAAACATCGATCAGCTGCCTCCTGCACACTCCCCACTGGGGATGTGCCCACAACCAAGGTACATGCCCTTGACCGGAATCGAACCTGGGACCCTTCAGTCTTCAGGCCGACGCTCTATCCACCGAGCCAAACCACTCAGGGCTGTAACGACTTTTTTGAGTACCTGATAGAAGCCTCGGGCCTCTCCCCCATTAAAAAGCCGAGGCGCACACATCCACACTGGTGGGCAATCCTTGGGGGTCACAGGCCCATCTATGCTGCCCAAGTTGAGAATTCTTGCTCTGTGGATTAGGAAGCTGGTTTGTTGTTATTTTTAAATTGAGGCGAAATGCACATGGCATGGGATTAGCTTTTTAGAGCGAACAGTTCAGTGGCATTAGCACATTCACAGTGCTGTGCAACTACCGCCTGTCTAGTTGCAGACATTCCATCACTCCAAAGCAAACCCACACCCATGAGCAGTGTCTCCCACTCCCTCCCTCCCCCAGCCCCAACCACTCATCTCCTCCCTGTCTCTATGAATTTGCCTCTTCTGGGCGTTTCATACAAAAAGAATCATAAACCATGTGGCCTTTCGTGTCTGGCTTCTTTCCCTCGGCAGCATGTTTCAAGGTTCACCCAGGATGTAACGTGCAACAGCACTTCATGCCTTTTTATGGCTGAGTAGCATTCCGGTGTATGGCTAGGAGCTGCTCTCTTTTATTTTTTTAAAAAATATATTTTATTGATTTTTTACAGCGAGGAAGGGAGAGGGATAGAGAGTTAGAAACATCGATGAGAGAGATACATTGATCAGCTGCCTCTTGCACACCCCCTACTGGGGATGTGCCCACAACCAAGGTACATGCCCTTGACCGGAATCGAACCTGGGACCCTTCAGTCCGCAGGACGATGCTCTATCCACTGAGCCAAACGAGTTAGGGCAAGAGCGGATCTCTTTTAAAAGCAAAATTAGGTCACGACCCTCCACTGCATCTAAACCACCCAATAGCTTCCCCTCCCCCTTGCACCAGAACCCAAGCTCCTCCCCCTGCTGACACTCCCTCTGCCACGCAGCTTCTCACACTGCCCTCCCCGGGACCACTCCTCGGCCACTCCACTCCAGCCACACTGGCTTGACTTCTGTTCTAGAAACCCCACAAGCTTGTTCGCACCCCAGGGCCTTTGCATCTGCTGCTCCCTCTGCTTAGAATGTTCTGGAGCCACACTGCTGGCTTCAAATGGGGCTCTAGCACTCATCAGCTCTATATCCTTGGGCAAGTGAGTGAGCACGTCTGACCCTCGGTTTCCTCATCTGTGAAATGGGGGACCTGCCTCGCGTGGATTCACAGGCGAGGCATGTGAGGCACCCACCACAGGGCAGCTTGGTGCGGAGTGTGCTTGGCATTGTTTATTGTAAACTCTAGCCTGTCAGTCAATGACTAACTGGATTTTTTATTTGTTTAGAAGAAATATAAAGTGGAGACGGAAATCGAGAACTGGATCCAGAAATACGATACGGAGATGAGCGAGAAGCAGGTATTTGTTGCTGCATGGGTCTCGCTCAAGTGTATTTCCCACAATCCTCTGGGCGTGGGGGATGGGAGGAGAGGCCCCAGGATGGTCTGCAGTCTTGGCCGAGTTCTGGGCCTCCCTGCTCCTTCCCTAGGCGCCCAGGTTTGTCTAGCCTGGGGCAGCAAGGGGAGAGGTGGAAGGGAAGGATCCAGAAGCTGTGAGCCACCAAGTGCTTGACACTGGGCCAATGATCCTGGCTCCATCTAGTGTCCACATCCCGTACTCTCTGCTCCTGCCGGCACCCAAGCCAGGGCTGAAGGTGAGCGCTTGCCTCGGCCACTCAGAAAGCTCCTGCTGCGAGCCTGCCCCGTGCCAGGTGCTGGGGCCCAGCAGGGAGGAAGGTTTTCCTCTAGTCACTCACCAGCTGTGGGCCCTAAGCAAGGGGCTTGGCCTTCCTGGGCCCATTTCTGTGCATGATCAACAGGTCGTCATCCCAGGCCGGGCCAGGGTGCGGTCAGTGAGGCACTACTGTCGCCAGTGCTTGTGTCCCCCACGGGGTCTGGCCTGCAGGAAGTGCCCAGGGAACGGTGGCCTACAATACCCCCCACCCAGCTCCGTGATAACCTCGGTGGCCCATGGCCCTGGCTGTGGGGCCAGGAAGCCTGGTGGGCACTGGAGGTGGCATCAATCCGGGGTCCAGTCAGTGTGCTGCTCAGGGAAGGGCAAGTTGGGGCCTGGCTGTCTGACCACAAGTGCTCTGGGGAGGGGGCCCTGGGGAGGCTGGCAACCGTGAGTGGGAGGGAGGGAGATGGGTGTGAGCTACAGCAGGAGAGGCTGGAGTTAGACATAAGGACGAACTGTGGGACTTAGCCCCTGGGGAAGTGCCACGCACGCTCTTTGTAAAATGAACGGCTTCAGTGGCAGCAGCTTGCACTGTTTACGTCACCACGCATGTTTGGCACCACGTCCAGTAATTGTGTTGTCCTGTGTCATTTCATCCTGGAAGCAGCTCCCAACACCCTCTCCTGTGTTTGCAATTGTCACCATGCCTCAGATGAGGAAAAATGAAGGCTTGAACGGTGTGGCTGAGCTGGGATTTGGACTCAGTCTGGCCAACCACAAGCCGTGCTCTTTCCTGGGTCCCACCTGGTACTAGGATGGATCTCATCACCTCTCGCACTCTCTTCCGGGCCCTGGAGGCAGAAAGCCTAGTGCAGGGGCCTTGCTGGCCCAGGAGCCCCTGCGGGAAGGGCGGGTGCATGCAGAGGGCGTGGCAGGCAGGCCCGATGCCAGGTGAGCCCACCGACCGACCTCCGCAGGACGAGTACGAGGAGCTGGACATCATCCACAAGGAGGAGAAGATCCAGCTGGAGGAGCTGCAGCAGAGGTACGAGGTGCTGGTGGAGGAGTTCGCCCAGATCCGGGAGGAGCGGGAGATCACCTCCAAGAAGAGGATGGAGGACGAGCAGGAGATGATGCGCATGGTGAGGGCGGCCACGCTCATCCAGGCCGTGTGGAAGGGCTACCTGGTCCGCTCCCTGCTCAGGTCCAAGAGGAAGAAACGGGGCAAGGGCAAAGCGAAGAGCGAGAAGGGCAAGGGCAAGGGCAAGAAATGAGCCCCCTCCCCCAAGGCCTGTCCTGATCCCGTGCACGGCCTCTCCCCTCCCCCCCGAGAGCCGGCCAGGAAGCCACTGGGACCAGGAAGCCCGGCGATCATAACTTTCATACTTTTTTCAAAATTAAAAACCATTTTAAACCACTTCCTGTGAATAAACCTCATTTTACCCAGGGTGGTTGGCTGTGCGTGTGTCCATGCCTGTAAATGGACAGAGCCCAGGCTGCAGCCCCCTTGGTCCCAGGCCAGAAGCCACCAAGGCCACGATGGACACGTCACCCGGCAGGTCTGCCCACGGAGGGTGGGGGGCAGGCAGAGAGCTCCAGCAGGACCCGGCTTCCCTGCCCTCAGCTCCGCTCTGGGATTGCCCAGTTGCCCACAGCTTCTCCCGCCATCAGCACTGTGAAAGCTCAGGTGTCCCAAGATCATAGACCAGCAGCCTCCATGGGCTTTATTTGGTGCCCAGGTAGTTGAACAATGTATCTTTTCAAAATTCACTGCTGGTATTAAAAAAAAAAAAAATCAGGGGCCCTCACACAGAAATCCAGCTTCCTGCCTTTTCTGGAAAATTCTCACCAACCAGATATCCTGGGCTCTTCCAGAGCTGAGCTGCAGCACCCACTAGAGGGCGGAGACTGCAGGCTGCCCCAGTCCCCACCACTCCCCACAGTCTTCCCAGATGCTATGGCCTTGTCAGTTGCCCCTTATCGTCACACTCAGGCTGTTGCCTTTCTTTTAGTCTAGTTGGAGGAAAGAGGTATTTCTGGCTCATGTCTATTTAAACGGGGAAAGGTGTGTGTGTGTAAATGAGAGCTGGAAGGGAGGGAACTAAACTAATTCTTTGTGAAAGTTCTAGGAAGTTTAAACATCCCACATGTTTAAAATGCCAAGAGAGCTGCTGACTTGCTTGCCTCATGCCCCACCTGCCCCAAGTGGTGTCTGCACATGCATCCCTGGCCCTGGCCCTGGCCACTGGCGGTCCCTCCCCTTCCCCCCTCCCCTCCCCTCCCTCTCCCCTCCCCTTCCCTAGGGGCAGCACAGAACCAATGATGGGGCTTCTGGCTAGTTCTGGAATCCCTGTGCTTCCTGGAGGTGCATCAGGGGAAAAGGGGGTCAAGGCAAGGCCCAAAGCCCAGGCCCCCACAAACTCGCCAGGATGCTGGGATCCTGGTGCGACTCCATCTGAGCCAAGGCCCTGCTGTTGCCTGTAAGGGGCCCGACCCAGGTGGTGCAGCTGACGAGCCTCCGTGCAGGGAAGGCGCGTCTGATCCCTCGGGCCTCGACCCCGAGAGCTCTCCAGATGCACGTCCCTTTCTGGCCTTGGACCGCTCGGCTTGGTCAGGTCCTAGTCACTGTGTGTTGTTTTTTGAAAAGGTGGGAAATGCATGAAACTCTAGCCCACATTCTCATCTCAGGAAGAGCCAGCCGACCCCCTAGTTAGTGGCAGTAGCTGAAACCAACGGGAGGAGGCCCCAGTGTTGAGACCTGGGTTCCGGAACTTCCGGCCCCCACTCGCCACTGTCACCATTTCTGTGCTCCCTTGCTATATCATTAAACGTTATTTAACCCAACTCAGGCCTAACATCGGCTTTTCCCTTAAGGAAAAAAGGTAGTGAAAGTCATGGCTTTGTGACTATTGACATATTTAATACGTGAAAATAAATACATGATCATTAAAATAAAAAGTCCACCCACATATCACCTGGACACCGTGCCAGGGAAAACTCTGAGGCCTTCAGACTCGGCTGGAAACTCATCCTGAGCAGGAAGTTTGGCTTGAAGGGGGGTTTCATGGGGGGGCGGGGAGGGGAAGAACCCTCCAGATTGGCGACCACACCATTTATTCATACTTGGAGGCAGGACAATGTGTGGGAGTGATGGGGGGCATCCCTGGGTTGGCACCGATACAGCATGTGGCTATGATGGGACTAGAACAGGCCTCTCAAGGGGCGGCCCTCACATCCACGTTGTGGAGGCAGCAGGGAACCAGAGGTTGTCAGGACAGAGGGTATCCCTGACCACCCTCACCATGCCTGCTGCCGTGAGTGCCTCGCCGATGCCTGGGGGTCTCCCCAGGAGCCCCCCACCTGTGCCATCCTCTGAAACGCCTCCCCTTGCTGTGGGCAAACCTGATGAAAGGACCGGGAAACTCATTTCCAAGGGGGCTTTGGTCTCGGGGTGGCACCCCCTCGCTGGGACGTAGCTGGCACTGAAGCACTGACTGACCGAGCCCTGGGAGTCACCAGGGGGGTCCGGAAGGTCACCCCGAATGGCGAAGGCCTGGGATCTCGAGGCCCACTCATGGGGGAGCCACCAGTGGGTGGGCGGCCAGTGCTGGGGACATTCAGAGCCCGTGGAGAGTCTAATCCACCCTTGGACACCTTCCCAGCTTCAGACCCCTCCCTGGGCTCTGTCTTCGTGGGAGCGGATGGGTGAATGGTGCGCACTGGGGTTTCCCTGGGGTGGGGCGGGTGGCCCCTCGGGGTGGCTGGGGGTGTCCAGAAGAGCGTGTGGAGTTTTGAAGCACCCCCCTTCACCATCCACGAGGCCTCCCAGCAGGTGCCCACGGGTCGGGAGCCAAATAGTGACTCATCACAGTAAGAAGGAGTGTGGCTGATCAGTCTGGCAAAGGGAAGAGAAACGAAGTGAGCGAACAAACCCTACAACCTTAACACCCGCCCACCCCACGCCACCCCCGCAAGGCACCTGCAGCAGTAGAGAGGGCTGCCGGTAGAACCCAGAAGTCCCTGTCTCCCAGCCTGGCACCCAGTGAGGGCACAGCCCCCTCATGTACCACCACCTCCATCTCTGCTATTTTGCCCCTGCCTAGCACCCAGTCCCCCTGTTCCTTGGCATGTGCCCCAGGCCTGGTCAATTTGCATATTTCACTCCTCTGGCCACACTGATTGGTCAGGAATGGCCATCTGACCCATTCGGTCCAATCAGAGTCTGCCTTAGGACCTTTGCTGAAACTACTAGGGAAGATGTTTTTCTGCCTCCTGACCTTGAAAAGCTGGCGGATATAAGGGCAAAGCAGCTGGTGGCATCTCACCTGTAACCTGTGAGGGAAAGCTGCACTAAGATGAAGACAGGATCCCAATGATGGTTTGAGCCCCGGTTATGTAAGGCCCAAATTCCCTTTTTCTGCTGAAGCCAGCTTGGGATAAGTTTTCTGTCACTTGCAACTAACAGCCCTAATTAATACAATGTTAGTTTTTATAATCTTCACTTTTTCTTTTAGCCTCTCCTTTTCCTTTTTCCTAGTAGCCTCATAAGCTGAATCCTTTGTAGTCCTCTGGCCCTTCTGATTTGAATTTTTGAATATTTACTGATATATTTACTTATTTATTTTTGTTAATCCTCACCAGAGGATATTTTTCCATTGATTTTTAAGGCGAGAAGGAGAGAGAAAGACAGAGAGAAAGACTGATGTGAGAGAGTCAACCTTTTGCTACTTGGTTTAACATCTCAAACCATGTCTGGTGGAAACCATATCTGGTTGCCTCCTGCACATGGCCCGACCAGGGCCCAGGCTGGGGAGGAGCCTGCAACGAAGGTACATGCCCTTGACCAGAATTGAACTCGGGACCCTTCGGTCTGAAGGGTCTATCCACTGAGCTAAACCAGCTAGGGCTTTACAGGCCCTGGACTCAGCATGCCACATACATTATCTCATTACTTCTCACAACATCCACAGGAGGGAGAGATTGATAATACCATTTTTCAGACATGAAAACTGAGGTATAGGGAGGGTGAAGCCCCATAGCAAGAAGGAGGGAAGAGAGAAGATTCAAATCCAGCCTGGCTCAAGGACCAAGTTCTCAACCAGTGAATCAGACATATACATGCCTTCTCGGCCTCTCATCTTTCATTAGATTCATTCAGCAATTCTTCTTCTTTTTTTTTTTTTTAAATTAATCCCACAACTGTGAGGTCCATGGTTTTAGACCAGGACTAAAAGTGCTCAAATTTCCAAATTGAAAAGTCAACCTTTTGCTACTTGGTTTAACTTCTCAAACCATATCTGATGGAAACACATGTCTGTCTGATGCACCTTCTCATGTGAAACCCTCTACTTGTCACCATCCAGCACAAGACTCCATCCTCCAGGAGAGCATGGGGTTGACTGTAACCTCCCTTGTCATGGACACCATACTTCTGCTAATACAGCCTACATTTACATCAGCATTTTCAGCCAAGTTGTAGGTGTCAGTGCTGCTAATGTCAACCAGACCTTGTCAGGGACATTGCCCTCAACCTGACACAATAACAACAAGTCTTCCTTTTATCTCGTTGAATTTTTATCTCCTTAAATAGACACCATTTCCTTTTCTTGACTAAAGTATGTCCCTCCTGGCTCAGCATGGATCCTAAATATGATTAACTAGTTGTTATGGAGTGTTGAATTTTAAAGAGGTAATCAAGGTTAAATGAGGTCATGAGGGTGAGCCCCCTAATCCAATAGGGATGGTGTCCCTTTAAGAAGAGACATGAGGAGTATACACACTCAGAGAAAAGGTCATATGAGGACACAGTGACAAGGTGGCCTTCTGCAAGCCAAGGAGAGGCTTCAGGAGAAATCAACCGGGTGGGCACCTTGACCTTGGACTTCAATAAATTTCTGTTGGTAAGCCTCCCAGTCTATGGTATTTTGTTATGGCAGCCACAATCAATTAAAACACCAGTCTCCTGTGTCTTTGTCCAAACCACTGATAAATAAGTAAGAAGGAACCCTGAGGTCCACTACCAGATATCTCCTTCCAGGTTGATATTAATCTGGAATAATCCCAATAATCTCATTCTAATCTAATCATTATCCTATATAATAAAAGGCTAATATGCAAATAGACCAAATGGCAGAACAACTGAACAACCGGTTGCTATAATGTGCACTGACCACCAGGGGGAGTGTGCAGAACATGGGGGGCATTGGCTGTGGTGGGATGGTGGAGCAGGTGAGGATGGTCACTAGACAAAGGCGGGGCGCCGGTTGCTGTCATTAGAGTGAGCCGCTGGTGGTTACTGAAAATTTTTTGCTCCCGTACGCCGGGATCCTGCCTGGCCCTCGGAGCCATCACGCACACCCACTGCCAGCGCCGGCCCCACTCACACCTGCAACCAGCACCGGAGCTGCTGCTCATACCCGCTGCCTATGCCCGGTGCCGGTACCGATCACTTGGCACCATCAGCAGGTGTGAGTAGTGGCTGCTGGCCCTGATCATCCCTGAGGACTTCTTCGTCTTCCCCTGCTCCTGAGGGGTGATCAGGGCAGCAGCGGCACTCGCACCACTGCTGGCACTGGCCCCAATCGCTCCACGCTGTAAATGCGTGTGAGTGGGGCTGGCACCATCAGCTCATGGAAGCAGCGGCAGCAGGATTGGGGCTACTGGCAGATAGGGAACCGGAGGCCGCGGCAGGAAGGGCTGGGTGGGGACATGGAGGATGGGCCAAGACCCAGCCCTGTGCCTACTTCAGCCTCACGACCTAGAGGTCCTTCCAAGGTGCACGAGTTCGTGCACTGGGCCCTTAGTATATAATAAAAGACTAATATGCACATTGACCGAATGGCCGAACGACTGGTCACTATGATGCTCAATGCAGGAGCTGCCCCCTGGTGGTCAGTGTGCCAGAAGCTGGGCTCATGGCTGGTGAGCACAGTGGCAGTGCCAGGAGCCTCTCCCTCTTCCCTGGCAGTGGGACATCCCCCGAAGGCTTCTGGACTATGAGAGGGCACAGGCTGCTGAGGGCCTGCCCTGAGTGCATGAATTTTGTGCACTGGGCCTCTAGTTACTTTATAACCATTAGCATCAGCTCTTGGCTTTCTAATTTGTTCATGAAAATGCAGCAAGAACCATTTTCAAAATGACGTGCTGAAATCTGAAACCAGCAAATCTATGTCATTTCATGGATCAACCACACCAGTAATCTTATGCAAACTGCTCTGTAATCTTGGGCCAATCCTGGCCTCTCTGGGCCTCAGATGCCAGTCTCACTACTATTTATCAAGAGCTTTCCTAAGTGTCAGGTTACTGTGCCCAGCACAGTACACACCTCACCTCACTTAATCCTCTCAGTAAAACCACTAAATCCCACTTGCCACATGAGAAAATTATAGTTCAGAGAGGGCAGGGGGCTTGCCCAAGGTCACACAGCATGTGAACAGCAGGGCTCTAAGAGGACCCTAGGTGGCAATACTGAGTGCAGGAGTGCATCTCCCCATGCTGTTACCTGTATTTGTTCTTCTTCCTTGGGGTGAGGGTCGGGGTACTGCCCCTGGAGGAGGTGGTCTCACAGCTCCCATTGGCTCCCGAAGCCCGTGAAGCCTCTTTGCCCACTCCTTTGGGTCTGTTGGCCTTCTCCACCCAGGGTGGGTCAAAGTCTGGCGGCGTGGGCCGGGTGCCTGAAGGGCTGCCAAACAAAGTCTCATCCACGTACGATGCCCTGGCCTTGACCTGATAGCTGCCCCTGCAGCGGTGCTGACGGTGGAGGGTCTGCATCCCACTGATGGCCAGTTCCACAGGGGTCTTCATGCTGACCGTGGTGCCAGGTGACAGTAGGCATGCTCTGCCCACCAGGCCATGCCTCCAGAGCTCCCTGTGAAAGGGGTCAGGGTGCCATCCCTCTGTCATCGGCAGTGCCATCAGGGAAAGACTGGCAGTCTCTTAAGTCCCCATTCCAAGGGCAAAAGGGTCAAGCAGTCCTCCTCAAAGGGGAACTGCCAAGCTCAGGGGACATTTCGGAAATCTACTGGACTTTTTTTTAGCTGTCACAATAACGGGGAGAGGGGTGCTACAGGCACATTTTTAACGAATATGCATTCCTCCCATACAGTGTGTACTCGATGAATATTTACAGAATGCTAGAGGGATGAAGGAGAGATGGGGCTTGTGTCCATTTTGGCACCAACCACAAAACAAATTCTGGTGGGAGGGGAAGGCAGGGCAGGTCTGAATCCTGCATATATTTACGGGGCAGGAAAGAACCGGTCACTCCTACCTCCTGCAAACCGCTTTGGAAGCGCTGTCTCACTGAATCCTCTCATCAGTTCTGTGAAGCAGCTTTATGTCTACAGGCGACAAAACTGAGGCTCCAAAAGGTGACGTCACAAGTGTCAGTCACACCTATAAAGCTAAAACAGAGGAAGCGAAATGTGAACCTGGCAGCAGTCCAGAGCTTGTGCACGTAACCATTCTACTATAGGGGGGTCACGCCCCCCACATGCCCCACATGCCCCACCCCCAAATCAGTGTCCGGGTTCATGTCCCAGGATCCTGCATTCTTTTTTGTTAAAATTTATCTTTATTGTTGAAAGTATTACAACAATACTTCCCCCCTCTGCCCTCCAAGGCCTTCACCGCACTACCGTCTGTGTCCGTGGGTTATGCGACCCCCTGCATTCTTGAGTTTTTCTCACCTGAGTATCCTGGCTCCTGGACGTCGGCTGCAACCCTCAGTGCCCCTCTCCACGCGGCTGGACTCTTCTGTGGGGACCCCGGAATCCTGGAACCCCGGCCGCCCAGGTCCCGCCCCGGGCACCGCGCGGCCCGACTCCCGGGGACAGCCGGGCCCTAGCGACGTGTGCCCCGCGCGCCCATCAACAGCCACCAGCCAGCGTCCCGCAGGCGCGGCCCGAACCATTCGCGCCGTGGGGGGGGGGGGCGCCCCGGCCCGGCCGCGCCGAGCTCCCCAGAGCCCCGGAGAGGGGCCTCGGGCGCGCGGCAGGGGAGCCCCTGTGGACGCGCCCAGCCTCGGGGGCTGCGGCAGGGGAGGGGGCGCAGCGCGGGCCGGGTAGACGCGGTGCCCCCGCCCCCGCCACGCCCCCACGCCCCCGCCACGCGTGGTACGACCCGCTGGCTCCGCCCCTTCCCGTTCTCTTGTGCCGGGTCCGCATGGCTGCAGGTACGCGCCCGGCGGCCCGACCGCGGTCCCGACCTGCCATGGCCCAGCGGAGGAAAAAGAAGGGGCTTCGGAAGCGCCGGGACGCGGCCTCCCACGCCCGCAGCAGCGACTCGGAGGACGGCGAGTTTGAGGTCCAGGCGGAAGATGACACCCGGGCGCAGAAGGTGGGAGCGCGCGGCTGGGACACACGTTGGAGCCCAACCCCCGGCTCCGTGGGCGCCCCGCGGCCGCAGTTCCCCCGGCTGAGGAGTGGGCACTTCCCAGGGTGGGGAGAGGCCGGCTGGCAGGGGATCGGGGTCAGGACCGCCGGTCTGACCCGGGTCCTGGCGGCCGGAGCCACCGCGTTCCGAAGGCTGGGGCCTGCGGGCCTTCCTGGTCGGCTCTTTGGTTGCCCGCTTCTCATTGGCTACTTCCTCATTAGGGGGCGGGCCCTAGTTCCCATTCGTCCAATGAAAAGTGCAGGTGCTGAAGCTCTGACTTGGAGAGTTTAGGGGGGTTCTTTTGAGAGGTTGAATTAAGGGGAGGCCGAGGCCCGTAGATTGGGGCAGTGATGCCCCCAAACCTCTGGGGAATTAATAGTAATAAATTAAACCTGGGTTTGTTGACCGCCTACTATGTGCCAGGCTCCGTGCTAAGAGCTTTACCAGCCTTATCATTTAATCATCACACCACCCTGTGAGCTATGTATTGTCATCCCATTTGCCAGAGGAGGAAACTGAGGCCGAGATTGGTAAAAGAACTGGACCAAAACCTCACAGTTTGTGAGCGGGAGAGCCGGGATTCAAACCCGGGACTGTCTGGTTTCGGAGCCTGTGCTGTTTCTACTACTGAATGCCAGCTGTATGCAAATGGGAAGGGAGGGCAGTAGCCCCTTATTTCCCACAGCACCGTGCCCAGCCGGTGCCTGGCACAGAATAGCTTTGGGTAAGTAGATGAGTGAGTGTTTATGTGAAGAGAGGCCTACGCTTCTCCAAGGCCGGCACCAGACTTTATCCCAGTTTCCCCAGCCTAGCTAAAGCCTGGCACACAGTAGGTGCACCGTAAACGCGGAGAAACTGCTAAAGGGAATGAACAGGAGGTCAGAGTACCACATGCCAAAGAGGAGCCCATGTATGTGGTTCAGACTAGGGCTCTGCCCTGGCTCTGCCCTGGCTCTGCCCTGTACAGGCTGTGGGATAGTGAAGAAGTTGCTTAACCTCTCTGAGCCACATCTGCAGAAGACAGCGGTTTCCCCTTGTGCAGAAGGCTGATGATTACATGTGCCTCACAGACCTGGAAAGGAGTGAATGACATGTTTATATGCTCTGTCGTGCAGTAGAATGCTGGGCCCTGGTGTGTTCCAGGACTTGGTTGTTATGTGCCCAGAAGAGGGATTGGCAAACTTTTCCTCCAGGGACCACGTGGTAAATATTTTAGGCTTTGTGGGGCCCTATAAGGTCACCGTCTTTTTTGTTGGATTTTTTGACAGTCTTTTAAAATGTATGTGACCACTCTTAGCTCACAGGCTATACTAGACAGGCTGCAGCCCTGCCTAGATGGTGCAGGGACCATAGAGGGCCACAGTGGGAGGAACACACTCCGATCCCCCCACTTGCTGTCTGTGTGATCCTGGGCGGGTCACGTCACCCCTCTGTGCCTCAGTTTCCTTCTGTGTAAGATGACAAAGTAATAGTACCCACTTCCCAGGGTTGTCGTAGGGTTAAGTGCGTTAACCTATGTGAATGCAGCAGCACCTGGCTTGGGGTAAGAGCCATGTGAGCACTAATCGTTACAGTGAACTAGCGGTCCATACCTGTTATTTCTGAGAGGGAGGGGACAGCCCTGTAATCTGAGAGGGCTCCCCGGAGGAGGCATCTGGGTTAGCTGTGCTGGGACTAAGGGGTCTTGGATGGGCAGAGAGGAGGCAGGCACAAGAGAGACCAGAGTTGGGTAAGGGTGATGGGTCAGAAAGCGGATTAAGGAGTGGAGGGCAGAGCATCTTAGAAAAGTCTAGTTGTGATGGGCTCTCTAGAGTTAATTTCCAGGGCTTGGAATGACAGGCCCGGATGATGATGATGATGATATCGCCATCTCTGTGCTGGGCACTGTTCTGAGCTTCGCGCTTACCTGTTTAGTCTTCACAACACCCTGTGAGGCAGATGCTCTTGTCACCCGTTTCCCAGATGTGGGAACACAGGCTCCGGGAAGATTAAGTCCCTTGTGTGGGGTCTCCCAGCTGGCAAGTGACAGAGTTGGGACTGAAACCAGGCTGTGTGTCAGCAGAGCCCGCTCTCTGCCCTCCGCCCTGTCCTGGCCCGTCAAAGGGGAGCCCTGTAGCAGGCACGTCTCGTGATCTGGCAGGGGAGTCATTGACTAGAAAGGGGTGCAGACCAGCTGCAGGACAGCCCCCCTCCCTGCCCAGTGGTCTGATGGTACCTGGAGTGATGCTGCCTCTCTGCTCCTCCCTCCAGCTGGGACCTGGCCGACCCCTGCCCACCTTCCCCACCTCGGAATGCACCTCGGACGTGGAGCCGGACACGCGGGAGATGGTTCGAGCCCAGAACAAGAAGAAGAAGAAGTCGGGAGGCTTCCAGTCCATGGGTGGGTGCTCCAGGCATCTGGGGAAATTGGGGGAGGCGGGTAGCAGCAGGGGGTCACCACGCCCTCTGAGCTCTGCTCTGGGCCCAGCACTGGTAGGTATTGGGCAAACTGAGGCAGCAGACACTGTCTCAGAGCCAGTCAGGGCCTCATGGGGGCAGCGGTCTTGACACAATGAGAGAACAGTTAGAGCAGGACTCAGGGCGATGCGGTGCAGGAACAGGCAAAGACATTGGGGGATTTAGTGCCTGACAATAGCATTTTAGAGCAGCGGGGAAAGATGCGATAGTCGTGTGCGTGGGGCTCCCTCCACCCCGGTCGTTCCCGTGTCTTTCCCAGGCTTGAGCTACCCGGTGTTCAAAGGCATCATGAAGAAAGGTTATAAGGTGCCAACGCCCATCCAGAGGAAGGTATGCGGCGGGCAGGGCTGGTGGGGTTGGGAGGAGGGGATGAGGGACTTGGCTTCTCTCAGCCCCTTGATAGACACCCCTCGTCCCAGCTGCCACATCTACTGTCCCTCTTATTCTGAAGCCCCACAAGCCTGCCTGTTCCACAGGTCGGGGAGGTTGGCCCAGCAGAGAGGAGACGCGGCCCTGTGCCTCTTTGCCATTTAAGGCTGTTCCTTGCTGAGGCTGCGCAGTGAGGAACAGTGGTCAGGGAGGGTAGAGTCTGGCTTCATCTGAAGATGGATGTTCAAACCCTGGAAAGAGTTGGGGGTGGTGAGCTGCTCGTCCCTGGAGGTGTGCAAACGAGCGTTGTCAAAAATGGGATCAGGGCTGGGAGACAGGCCCCTTCCCCCCACTGAGGTCCCCTAGTTCCACTGGGAACTCGAAGCTCCGGTGCAGGAGCTGACCACCCCCTCCCCTCCCCATTCGTCTCCAGACCATCCCCGTGATCCTGGATGGCAAAGACATGGTGGCCATGGCCCGGACGGGCAGTGGCAAGACAGCCTGCTTCCTTATCCCCATGTTTGAGCGGCTCAAGACCCGCAGTGCTCAGTCGGGGGCCCGTGCCCTCATTCTCTCGCCCACCCGGGAGCTGGCCCTGCAGACCATGAAGTTCACCAAGGAGGTGTGTTGGGGTTGCAGAGGGGGGAGGGGAGAGGAGAGGGGGACAGGCGGTGGGGAGGGCAGGGAGAGGCAGGCTGAGTCACCTCCCCCTTACCCTCTCTCAATCTTTCTCTGTCTCTCCCCACAGCTGGGCAAGTTCACCGGCCTCAAGACTGCCCTGATCCTGGGTGGGGACAAGTAAGAACCCTCTTGCCCCTGGCCCCGGTCACCCACACCCCCATCCCTGTGCAAGCGCACCCCATGCCTCCAGGGTATCAGAGTGTAGGTGCCTGTGTGGCTTATTAACAATAGCAAGTTCTTGGCACATTCTAAAAAATAGGACTGATGCTTGTGAAGAATTAGGGAAACATGCAGTAACATACGAGAAGGAATTTCCCACACGAGCACTGTGAAGGTTCTGGGGCTCCTGAAAGACAGCTGGTGGCATCCGGGTCACCCACCCGGTAGCTCAGATGTCTGTTTTAATGTGCGTACGTGTGGGTTGTTTAAAGCAGAATGTGCAAAAATCAAAGCATGTTTGTAATAGCTCAGATTTGCAAAATGTATTTTTCCTGATGTGCTGGTACCATCCTTCTGAAGTGGCAGGCATGACACCTGTTTACAGGTGAGCACGCTGAGGCGGTGGTGGGCCCAGAGCTGTGCAGTGGTTTGGTAGTACCGCTCAGATGAGAACTCTGGTCCCCTGCTGTGCCCCCTCCCCCTTCCACAGGCCTCCCTCCCAGGACAGCCCCCTCCTTGCTCTCAGTGTCACTGTCACCAGTCACTCAGTTCTGCGTGTTTTGCTGTCCAGGGCTCTTTGCCTACATTATAAAGTATTATCTCTAGTTATTGTGAGCAGTGCCTCCCAGGCTAGGCCTGGCCCGGAATTCTGGCTCCTACAGGTGTCCCAGGGGACGACTAAGTTAGGGATGTGTGTGCTCAAAAGGTTTAAGAATAAGCACAGAGAGATCCCAGAAACTGGATTCGAGGTGCAGCTGGCAGTTCCAGGGGTAGTTGCTAGGAGGCTGTGGGTGAAAGGCAACTTTGTTGCCTCTGGAGATAGAGAATGAGGTGGGTTGTGAGGCCGAGCCCACTCTTTGGGGAACTCTTTGTTGTGTGAGTCCTTTTGTATGTGTGAACCTGTATCTCTTGTCAGGGCAGGGCCTTTGCCTAGGACAGCAGTTCTCAACCTGTGGGTCGCGACCCCTTTGGGGGTCGAAAGACGCTTTCACAGGGGTCGCCTAAGACCATCAGAAAACACATATATAATTACATATTGTTTTTGTGATTAATCACTATGCTTTAATGATGTTCAGTTTGTAATAATGAAAATACATCCTGCGTATCAGATATTTACATTACGATTCATAACAGTAGCAAAATTACAGTTATGAAGTAGCAACAAAAATAATTTTATGGTTGGGGGTCACCACAACACGAGGAACTGTATTAAAGGGTCGCGGCATCAGGAAGGTTGAGAACCATTGGCCTAGGGTGTCAGCAGTAGCCTTTCCCCAGTGGCAAGTCTGGGGTCAGGGAGTGGGGCTCACCGGGTATTTGGTGTGGGAAGGGACAGGGACTGGACAGAGACCTGTTCTATCGAGCTGACTCCTGCCCTTCTCCCTAGAATGGAAGACCAGTTTTCAGCCCTGCATGAAAACCCTGACATGTGAGTTTGCATTGGGGGTCACGCTCTGGGGTCCCTTCCCAGATGGCCAACGTCTGGGGAGTGAGAGGAGGGCTCTGCTGGTGGCCCTGGGTGACCTGGCCTGCACACCCCTTCCAGAATCATTGCCACCCCTGGCCGCCTGATGCATGTGGCTGTGGAGATGAACCTGAAGCTGCAGAGTGTGGAGTACGTGGTATTTGACGAGGCTGACAGGTAAGGCTGCAGGTACACCCCTCGCAGTGTCCAGGTTGGCCGAGGCTGGGAAATCGGAGGGAGGTGCGGTTGCTGGGAGGAAGGGCTCTGCCAGGAGACCTGTGTACCGGGATCACCGTTAGAAAAAGTAGCACGAAGTTGAGAACACAGGCGGGATCAGATCCCAGCTGCGTGAACTTGGACAAATCACTGAGGGTCTTGGGGGCCTGGGGGGCCTCGCCTGCAGAGTGGGGATAAAATAGCATGTGCCTCCCAGAATGCCGTGAGGACTCGGGAGCCGATATCTGTAAAGTACTCAGAACGGTGCCTGACCCAGAGCGAGGGCTGCTGTCATTTATTTCAATGCGAATTTGTAGGAAACAGGTCAGACCAGACCCAAGATTTCAAGGTCATTATTGCTTAGAATGAAGTTGTCAGACAGAAAAATCGAGGCAAACACCGACCACATGGGAGAAGTGTGGTGGGGGAGAGGGTGGCTGAAGGTGGGAACTCCCTGGAGGAAGCCCCTCTCCTGACCGTCCTGCCCTCTGCCCCCTGCCCTCCGCCCTCCCAGGCTCTTTGAAATGGGGTTTGCAGAGCAGCTGCAGGAGATCATCAGCCGCCTCCCGGGGGGCCACCAGACGCTCCTGTTCTCGGCCACGCTGCCCAAGATGCTGGTGGAGTTCGCCCGGGCCGGTGCGTGAGCTCGGTGGGGGCCGGGGCCCGGGGCCTCGTCCTCCCGTGACTCAACCCCCACTCCCCTCTGCCCACCGCAGGCCTCACGGAGCCCGTGCTCATTCGGCTGGATGTGGACGCCAAGCTCAACGAGCAGCTCAAGGTGAGGTGTGCCTGTGCCCCTGGCCAGGCCTCTGCAGGGCCCTGAGAGCCACACCCTCACGGCCCCTCTCCCGGCAGACCTCCTTCTTCCTGGTGCGGGAGGACACCAAGGCCGCCGTGCTCCTCCACCTGCTGCGCAGTGTGGTGCGGCCCCAGGACCAGACGGTGGTGTTTGTGGCCACGAAGCACCACGCGGAGTACCTCAGCGAGGTGAGCGGGCCTGGCTGGCTGAGGGAGACGGCCCCTGGGCGCCTGCACCTTCATTAGCTCGGGCTGCAGTTCCGTGTGCAGACACCAGAGGGCAGCACCAGAGCGGGACACGGGCCTGCCAGGGCTTAGGACTTTAATGAACTCCCCGGTACTCAGTTACCCACTCATGGCCAGTCCTGACTCATCTGTTGCTACCCCCTCCACCCGTTATGTTGAAGTATTCTCCCAGCCGTGCTATCACTTTTGTGTACATTTTCCCATATGTTTCGTTTTTTAAAAATGAGGCGTGGCCTGCCTGCAGTGAGCTATGTACAGGGCCCAATTCTCCGTGAGCACCTGGATGAGTTTTTCCATATGACAGCATGGGGTCCTGTGCCCCAAAGGCTGCTGGGGCCCCTCCCTGGTCAGCCACACCTGGGGTCTGTTTTCTGAGGACACACTTCACTGGGTTTCCTTAACTTGTCATACATTTAACGGCGCTTCCTCCTCGCGTGCAGCTGCTGGGGTCTCTGATGAATGAGACTGAAAGAGTAATTCTCAAAGAGCAGTTAACACTCACGGTGCTTCTGTGTTCTGGGCCGGGTTCTCAGCACTGTGTTAACACACTGAATCCTTCTGACGAAGCTACAGAGCAGGACCAATTCTCCCCATTCTATAGACAAGGAAAATGAAGGCACAAAGAGGTTAGGTCACTTGCCCGAGGTCGTGCAGCTCCTTAGTGGGAGAGTCAGGATGAGGCTTACACCAGGCCATGGCACCCGCTGTGGCCCAGACTCTCTCTCCTACCAGCTCCTCACCCCTCTCCCTCTCCCCTCCCGGCCTGGCTCCGAGCAGCTGCTGACGACCCAGCGGGTGAGCTGCGCCCACATCTACAGTGCCCTGGACCAGACGGCCCGCAAGATCAACCTGGCCAAGTTCACCCACGGCAAGTGCTCCACCCTCATCGTGACGGACCTGGCGGCCCGGGGCCTGGACATCCCGCTGCTGGACAACGTCATCAACTTCAGCTTCCCAGCCAAGGGCAAGCTCTTCCTGCACCGCGTGGGTGAGGAGCCGGCGGGCGCTGAGCCCCGGTGGGAGCTGAGGGCGCAGGGCGCGACTCCCGCCCTTCCGGTGGGGAACCCGGCCCAGGGGTCTGACCTATAAGTGAGGACCTGGTGGTGGTGGGCCGGCACGATTCTCATGGGTGCCTCACGGCTCCAAGGGGGCGATTCTCCACTCTCTGGACTCTGCCCTGGGCGCCCCTGTCTTTTCTGTCGTGCTCCTTGGTGACGTGCTCCCTCAGCCCCCTCCTCCCCGAAGTCCTCTCAGTAACGCTGCCCTGGGAGCTCCTCTCCTGGGGACCTGTGCCCCCTCAGGGTTGGGCAGGTGGGAGTTGTGCTAAAGCTTGACCACCTCCTCCGCAGGTCGTGTGGCCCGGGCTGGTCGAAGTGGCACCGCCTACTCCTTGGTGGCCCCAGATGAGGTCCCCTACCTGCTGGACCTGCACCTGTTCCTGGGCCGCGCCCTCACCCTCTCCCGCCCCCACGAGGAGCCCTCAGGTGAGTGGAGGCCGGGGCGGGGCTGAGGTCCTCCGTGGAGTTCTTCACGTGGGCGAGGGACAGAGCTGTCCCCTCTGGTAGGGGGTGGGGCTGGATTTGACCCCAGGAGATCCCCGTACGGTCACCCTCGGTATCCACGGTGGATTGGTTTCAGGACCCCCTCAGATACAAAAATCCGCGATGCTTAAGTTCCTTATATTAAATGACATATTTGCATATAACCTACACACATCCTCCCTAACATTAAATCATTCCTAGTTACGTATAGTAATAGAATGTGAATGCTATGCAGCATGCCGGCAGCCACGGGGGTGATTCTGTGATTCGGGGCCAGGGTGGGAGGCCGGGCCATGGGCAGGTGGGCCGGCGGCAGACCGATGACCGGGCTCCGTGTGTGGTGGCAGGTGCGGTCGGTGTGGACGGCGTGCTGGGCCGGGTGCCACAGAGCGTGGTGGACGACGAGGACTGCGGCCTGCGGAACACCCTGGAGGCGTCGCTGGAGCTGCGGGGCCTGGGCCGTGTGGCCGACAATGCCCAGCAGCAGTACGTGCGCTCGCGGCCGGCGCCCTCGCCAGAGTCCATCAAGCGGGCCAAGGAGCTGGACCTCGCGGGGCTGGGCCTGCACCCCCTCTTCAGTGAGTCCCCATGCAGGGCAGGGCAGGGCAGGGGTGGTGGGCAGGCCCTGCAGAGCCGGCCCTGGCCTCACGCCTCCCTCCCCGCCAGGCTCGCGCTTCCAGGAGGAGGAGCTGCAGCGGCTGAGGCTGGTGGACAGCATCAAGCAGTACCGCTCGCGGGCGGTGAGTGAGGGCCAGGGGGCCCCCAGCAGGGATTCCATTTGAGCTCAAAGCTTCTGAAACTGTATCTCTAGCCCTGTTGGCATCTCTAGAGATGCCCCTGGTTCTGGAACCATTCCTGCTGGTCACGGCAGGTTCCCGTGTGGCACCCATTTCCTTCCACTTACTGATGGGCAGCCTGAGGCTCACAGGAGTGACTTGCCCGAGGCCTGGTAGAGGCCTGAGGAGCTGGCTTCCCATTGCCTTTCATCTCCTCTTGACGCCCTCTGAGCACCCCATTTGGTACCTAGGGGACAAGCCTGCCAGCCAACCAACCTCAGGGAAAAGGATTTGAGTGTCACGGTTGAGAGCACTGGTTTCAGAGCCAGCTGGGTCTGGGCTGAAATCCCAGCTGTGGCTCGTCCCAGCTGTGTGACCTTGGGCTGGTTACTTGCCCTCTCTGGGCTCCCTTTCTGGTTGTGAAAGGCAGATAATGAGAGAGCCCTCCCGGAAGGGTTGGAAGGACTTGGGGAGGAATGCCATAGGGAGCCCACCAGGCTGGTGAGGGAGGAGTTGTGGGGAGGAGAGGCCAGTGGGTGAAGGACTAGGGTGTCATCTCCACAGACCATCTTTGAGATCAACGCCTCCAGCCGGGACCCGAGCAGCCAGGTGATGCGGGCCAAGCGGCAGAAGGACAGCAAGGCCATCGCCAGCTTCCAGCAGGGGCGGCAGGAGCGGCAGGAGGGCCTGGCTAGCACAGCCCGAAGCTGCCCAGCACGGCAGGCGGAGCAGCCTGGGAAGGAGGAGGAAGAGGAGGCGGGAGAGAGTGTGGAGGTACACACCCCACCGGGGGGTCTGGGGTCTGGGCTGGGTCAGAAGCTGGGCCTTAGTGCCAGAGGCAGGGCTGGGGGACCACAGAGGTGTCCTGTTCACCTGGTGGGCAGGGTCCTGGGCCTGCTCATGCTCCCCTCTTACATTTGATTTGGATGGGGGTTCAGTAGCCAAAACATAACAGCTGAGAACCCCGGACTCGTCCCTAACACAGAGAGGGGCAGGGCCTGGCCTGGTCACACAGCCGGGAGATTAAGCTGGGATGGAACACGGGTCCCTCCTTGGTTGGCACCTCAGCCCCCCAGCCCCCATCTGTCCTGACCCTGCTGGTGCTTAAGGTGGGGCGAGCTGCATGTGCAGAGGAGGAAATGGCAACCCCAAGCCGGACTGGTGTTGGGGGGCAGGTGGGCTCCCAGGGGCTGCAGGTGTGACTGGGCCTTGGTCTGCCAGGACGTCTTCACAGAGGTCGTGGGCCGGAAGCGGCAGCAGCCAGGGCCTGAGCGGGGAGCCAAGAGGCGGAAGGAGGAGGCCCGGCAGCGGGACCAGGATTTCTATGTCCCCTATCGGCCCAAGGACTTCGACAGTGAACGGGGGTGAGCAGCCAGCTGGAGCGTGTGTGTGTGGTGTATACATGTGTGTATGTGTGTGGTCTATATATGTGCATGTGTGTGTGTGTGGTGTATGTGTGTATGCACGGTGTACATATATGTGTGTGGTGTGTGTACGTGTGTGTGGTGTACATGTGTGGGTGTGTGGTGTATGTGTATGTACATGTGTGGGTGTGGTATATATACGTGCGTGGGTGTGGTGTGGGTGTGGTGTATATGTGTGCATGTGTGTGGTGTATGTGTATGTCCATGTGTGGTGTGTATATATATGTGTGTGGTATGTGTGTGTGTGTGTGTGTGTGTGTGTGTGTGTACGTGCATGTGTGGTGTGTATATTTGTATGTATGTGCGCGTGCGTGGTGTGTGTGTGTGGTGTACATATGTGTACATGTGCATGTGGTGTACGTATGTGCGTGTGCGGTGTGTATGTGCGTGGGTGTGGTGTATGTGTGTGGTGTGCGGTGCATGTGTGTGTGTGCGGTGTATATGTGCATGTGTGTGTACATGTGTGTGTTGTATATATGTGCGTGTGTGTACATGTGTGTGGGGTGTGTGTGTGGCAAGTGGGGCCTGATGGGCCCCCATCAACCCTGTTGTGTCTCCCCACCGCCCTCTGCAGCCTGAGCGTTGGTGGGGACGGGGGCGCCTTTGAGCAGCAGGTGGCTGGCGCTGTCCTGGACCTGATGGGGGACGAGGCCCAGAACCTGACCAGGGGCCGGCAGCAGCTCAAGTGGTGAGTTGCGGGGAGCCGGTCCATCCTTGCTGTTTCAAGGGACCTGGCATATATGGCATACTGTTCTTAATATGTTTGCTCACCTTCTTGGCACTATGTGTTTTAACCAAGGTCACCTCTCTGAGAAAGGTTGTTTCCCCAGGTAGGGATTTTCCCCTGAAGTTAGGGAGGGAATAAAACCCCTTAACTAAGTGCCAGGCGGGTAATTAATCACTTTAACTACGAACAATCATGCTTAAGCTACATAATCTTTACTCCCTGGAATGGAGATTAGAAACGCCCTAACCTTTGGAATAGAGATTGATAGGATTGGAATCAACTGGTATAAATACAGATGTAACAAGACAACAGGACACAGAACCTAGACACAGAACCTAGAGACAGAAGAACTTCGCTGGAGAGAAAGATCCTGGACAGAAACTGGAAACAGAACCTAGAGACAGAACCTAGAGACAGAACATGGCAAAAGATCCTGGACAGAAACTGGCAACAGAACCTAGAGACAGAACCTGGCTACAGAACCTGGATAGAACATGGCAAGAGAACCTGACTAGAACCTGGTGACTGAACCTGGCTGGAGAACCTGGACAGAACCTGGCTGGAGAACCTAGCGAGGGAACATGGCTACAGAACCTGGCTGGAGAACCTACAGAACCTGGCTGGAGAACCTAGCAAGAGAACATGGACACAGAACCTGGCTGGAGATCCTGACCAGAACTTGGCTAGAGATCCTGGCTAGGCTGCTGATCAACTGAATGCTGTCTCTGTGTCATTCCTTCTTCGCCGACTCCGTCCACACCTTTGGGGACCCCTGGACCTGCTGGGGTCCAACCCCAGCAGTGAGTGAGCTCGCCAGTGCAGCCCTTCCATGCCCGCCTGTCTGCCACGTGGGCCCTACCCACTGGCATGTGACCCCCAGCCTGTCCTGACTCCCCTTTGATCCCTAGAGCAGGAAATACGCCACCCCATCCCCTCACTGCTCCTGCACAGCACGGATTACGATCTGTGACCCCCTCCTCCGGTCCCCATGTCATCGCACAATAAGGATGATGAACCCCACCCCACCCCCATTCAGCGCCTAGAAATGGCAGAGTAGGGGTTGGGAACCCTGTCCCTGACCGAGGCCCTCCAGTTTCCAGTGACCCACACACACTCTGCCTTTGAGACCTAGGCTACTAGGGAAAGGTGAGGAGGAGCCGGGGACAGGCCTTTATTGAGCACCTACTGCATGCCCGACATGGCCATGCTGCTTTTCTACAATCCTCCAACATCCCAGTGAGAGGGTCCGGGGAGGGAGGCCGCCCCAGGCCCCCTCCGTCCACAACAGCCCACCAACCTTCTCTGCTGCAGGGACCGGAAGAAGAAGCGGTTTGTGGGACAGTCCGGACAGGAGGACAAGAAGAAGATCAAGACAGAAAGTGGTCGCTACATCAGCAGCTCCTACAAGCGCGACCTGTATCCTGAGGGGCGGGGCTGAGTGGCACCTCCTGTAGGCGGGGCCTGTCTATGCTGGGGGGGCGGGGCTGAGTGGCACCTCCTGTAGGCGGGGCCTGTATCCTGGGGGGCGGGGCTGAGTGGCACCTCCTATAGGCGGGGCCTGTCTGCTGGGGGGCGGGGCTGAGTGGCACCTCCTGTAGGCGGGGCCTGTCTATGCTGGGGGGCGGGGCTGAGTGGCACCTCCTGTAGGCGGGGCCTGTCTGCTGGGGGGCGGGGCTGAGTGGCACCTCCTGTAGGCGGGGCCTGTCTGCTGGGGGGCGGGGCTGAGTGGCACCTCCTGTAGGCGGGGCCTGTCTGCTGGGGGGCGGGGCTGAGTGGCACCTCCTGTAGGCGGGGCCTGTCTATGCTGGGGGGCGGGGCCTTCTCCCAGCCCAGGGGTTTCCTGGGCTTCAGGATCCGCCAGCCGCCTCCTTAACACGCTTCCCAGCTACCAGAAGTGGAAGCAGAAACAGAAGATCGACGACCGCGACTCGGAGGAGGAAGGGCCATCGGACCGGCGAGGCCCAGAGCGAAGAGGCTGGAAGCGGGGCCGAGGCCAAGGTAGGATGCACCGCCACACGCACGTGGGCAAGTGGTATGCTTGGTCACCTGGGAACTTGGTCTTCTGATCCCTCCCGAGTCCCTCAACTGGTGACAGGCTAAGGGGGGTTTTAACGCCCTGTCTGCCAGAGCCTGCGCTGCACGATGGCACGTGGGCCAGCTGCCCTGCGTGCTGGGGCCTCAGGCTGCCCCTCGGGGCTTTGCTGTGCTCTGAAGGGAGGGGACGAGCCTGTCCCGTCCCCCCAAGCTTGCAGACAGAGGGCTCCGCTTGCCGTGTGGAGACAGGCTCTGCAAGACACTCGCCACTCAGGGCCTGGGTGCGGAGACAGAAGCCCACCTTACCGGCAGTGACTAGCCCTGGGCTACCCAGCTGCCTGCCACCCCCTGGGAACGGGAGCCTGGCACTATGTCCTGGGCTCTCAGTCACTGCTGGGTCCCCAGGGCCTGGCACAGAAGAGGCGCTCAGTCAGGCTTTGGTGACGTGTTAATAATCATAACAGTTACACGCAGGAGGCCCTTCCTCTGGGCTAGGCCTTGTTCTGGGCATTGTACACATTAAATCATTGACTCATGAGGACCCATGAGGAGGAAGGTGCTATTATTCATAATTCACCGAGGGGGAGACAGAGGCACAGAGAAGTGGCTTGCCCAGGTCTAAGAGGCCACAGCTGGGATTTGAACCCCGGAAGTCCTGGCTTGAGGTTCCAGACCTACCGTAGACGACTGTAGCCTTGTTAAGCACCTACTATGTGCCAGAGGCTGGGGCCACAGCAGTGAACACACATGGGAGTGGGGGCAGGGGAGCAGTCCGGGGGCTTCTGGGAGGAGGAGACATGGGGAATCAACCCAAAGGCTGAGCTCCCTGGATCCTTGTCTTGGCAGGTACCTCCCAGCCGCGCACCTCAGGCCCCCCCGCCGGCCGCGTGCGCTCAGAGCTCAAGACCAAGCAGCAGATCCTGAAGCAGAGGCGCCAAGCCCAGAAGATGCGCTTCCTGCAGCGCGGGGGCCTCAAGCAGCTCTCTGCCCGCAACCGGCGCCACGCCCGGGAGCTGCAGCAGGGCGCCTTCGGCCGGGGCGCGCCCGCCAAGAAGGGCAAGATGAGGAAGAGGATGTAAAGAGGATGGCCCAGCCCCGGCTCCTCCAGGCTCCAAGTGTGAACACCAGCACATGCTCCTGCGCGCCGCTATGTGCCTGGCCCCGTGCAGGGCGTTGGGGAGCTCCCTGCAGAACCGCCGCCCATGAGGAGTGCTGCAGGCCCCAGGGCAGCAGCTGCTCTGCTGACCCAGGGACGTGTGTGCAAGGTCTTGAAGGGTGCATAGGAGTTTGCGCCCTGAATTGGCGACTCGGCTCCTGCTGCTTCTGTGTGCTCTGGGTTCAGAGGTGGTGGTCACACAGGTCTGAGCCGTGAGTGCCGAAGGCCCAGTGATGTATCTTTAAGGTAATAAACCTTTCTTGAGCACCTCTGGTGGGCCAGGAGTGCCGTCCACTCTAGGAGTTGGAAGGGACAGGCCCAGGCACTGAAATCCCAGCTAGCGCGCCGGGTGAGTTGAGAGCGTGTGGGCAAGTCCCGTGGGATCCCCCGGGGACCCCCTGAGGTTGGGTGCTGTTGGTGTCCCCAGTTTGCAGAGGAAAATGAGGCTCAGAGGATGAGTTAGCTGTCGAAGGTGGGAGAACCCCAAAGCTGACAGTCGGTCCCCTTCCTCCTGCTGGGCCAGCCTCGCAGCTGGGAGGGAGGGGTGGGGGGTGACACAACAGGATGCAGGGTCTGGGCAGGGGCACAGCTGCTCCTCTGGCTGTGAAGGGGTTCACCCTGCCCCACCACACACCAAGCGGGCAGGACTGGCCAGGCCTCTGTCCTGCCCGAGGCCTGTGCTCCCGGGCCCGACTGGGTCCTGGAAGGTCAAGGGGAGCCTCCAGCAGCTGCATATCAAGCCGGGGAGGGGTCTTGTGAGCAGGTGCCTGGGAGTGGGTTTCGGCTCCTGAGACCCTCTTGCTGGTCCTATTGATTTTACTTGACTTAACCCAACACTCCCCTGGAATTTACCAGCATTTGCACCAGGCCCCATTACAAGCACCTGGCAAATACCTGCTTTTTAATGCCCCCAGCTGCCCTGGAGGAAGAACCCGGCCCCAGGCCAGGTGGTGGGGGTGGGGTGGGTGCCCCCATGTCGGCCACGAGTTCTGAGTGCTGGCTGTGTGCCCCTCGTGTTGTCCCGCCGCCATCTGAGTGGGCACGGCCTCCCATCTCCAGGTGAGAGCCATTCCGCCCCACCCCAGGAAATGTGTACCTTCTTTCCGGGAGGAGAAGCCCCTCGGGGGGCGCCCACTACTCACCAGGGTCGGGCTAGGGGGCCGCGGTCTCGGGCTCACTCTGGGGGAGGCTGGCCAGCACGGCAGAGAGGTCCAGGAGGAACAGCTTCACCTGGGGGTCCCCAGCAAGCCAGTCACACCCCAGCCCGTGTCCTGTGCCCACCCCCAATGTTGCAAGACCAGGGTCGGGTCGGGACCCTCTAAAAGACAGCAATGTTGGTGGTTCTGGGTTTTTTAAGGCCCAGTCTGCCTCTCAAACGATTCCCTAGCAGATGCCTTCGCAGTTGGGTACCACCTGCATTATAATTAAATTCTTACTTTCACCTCCATCAATTTATTTTCCCCCTTTAATTGGATCAGTCATATTTGTTGGCGTCTGGCTTACTCACTTTCTCCACGGGTGGCCCTCCTCTGCTTTGAGCTAATTCACTTACTGACACGGACTTAATGAGCACCCCTGGCTCCACAGCCAAGAACCAGTCACCCCGCAGACCTTCCCTTGGGCGCTCCCTTCACATGTTTCAATGAAATCAACGTCTGAGATGGAAACGATTCCAGCAAAGATGGGAAACGTTTGCCCTAACCGGTTTGGCTCAGTGGATAGAGCGTCGGCCTGCGGACTGAAGGGTCCCGGGTTCGATTCCGGTCAAGGGCATGTACCTTGGTTGCGGGCACATCCCCAGTGGGAGGTGTGCAGGAGGCAGCTGATCTATGTTTCCAACTCTCTATCCTTCTCCCTCTCCGTAGAAAATCAATAAAATATATTTAAAAAAGAAAAAGATGGGGAACGTTTAAGTCACCCTTTTCTGAAGTAGGAGGAACGAAAAATAGCTACAATGAAAACGAAACTGGCCCTAGCCGATTTGGCTCAGTGGATAGAGCATCGGCCAGCGGACTGAAGGGTCCCAGGTTCAATTCTAGTCAAGGGCACATGCCTGGGTTCCAGGCTCGATCCCCAGTAGGGGGTGTGCAGGAGGCAGCCGATCAGTGATTCTCACCATTGATGTTTCTATCTCTCCCTCTCCCTTCCTCTCTGAAATCAATAAAAGTATTTTTTTTAAAAAAAAACCACGAAATTGTTACCGAGTTTGGCCGGTTGCTGTTGCTGACAGGGTGAGTCCTAGGCCCCAGACCAGGGCGTGGAAGGCCTAGTTGCCCCCTGTTGGGATTAGAGTGTTGGTTGAAAAAGGACTGGCGTCTGCTGTCACTGCATATTGAGCCTCTGTCCCTCCTAGCGTCACCTGGGGGTGGACCTCGGTACCCGAGCCACACCAGGGAGAGCAGAGGCCCACAAAAACCCACCCAACGCAGGGCGTGGCACAAAGGTGGGCTCCGGGGCCCCAGTTCTTGCCGTTTGGTTGGAATCCTGGCCATGGGGGGCAGGGGTGGGGTGGGGGAAAGGAGTGCCTCTGTTTCCCCCACTCCTCAAGGGGGACATGCTCTGGGAACCCCCGGAAACAAGTGTCTCCAGAGTCAGAAGCCCCCTCCTCTGGCTGTAAACCTTGCAAACCTGAAAGCATAGAAAAATGGTGTGTGGTCCACAGTGACTCCTGTGAGGCCGCGATGCAGAGACCACTGCTCCACCCCACCCCGCCCTCGCCAGGGAAGCAAGGCCTGTCGGATGACTGCAAAGCGAATCTCGCCGGGCTGGAGTGGCTCAGCCGTTGAGCATCAACCTCTGAATCAGGAAGTCACGGTTTGATTCCCAATCAGGGCACATCCCCAGGTTGCTGATCCCCACAGCCGATTAATGATTCTCTCTCATCATTGATGTTTCTATCTCTCCCTTTCCCTTCCTCTCTGAAAGCAATAAAAAAAAATATTTTTAAAAAGCAAGTCTCAATCTCCTGGCTTTTATTGATGTCACTTGTTTGACTCTTGGCATAAATGCATGGAGTCGGTCCGTATACACCCTGGCCCTCCCGCATACGCAGGACACAGACCCAAGGGGCCGGACTTCCTTCCGACCACATGGCAGGTGACTCAGCACTAACCCCAACTGGGGGCCCAGGTGGCACTGAGCCCCTATCTGGTGCCTCTGATCAGAGGGCCAAGCTTAACCCAGAGGTGGGGTTTCAGGCGTGGGGGTGTGCCGAAGGCTTGGGGGCTGGAGGTGACAACAGGGGCGCTCACCTGCTCCAGCTGCCCCTCCGTGTCCTCGAGGTCCAGGGCAGGCGGCTGCCTGTGATGCTGGCACACCAACTGGAACAGGTTGAGCGCCGCCATCCTCACGCGGCCCAGGAGCAGCGTCTTCTCAGCGGCTGTGTTCTGGATCTGAACCCACTTGGATTCCTGGAGAACGCCCCGCCCGTCCCCATTAAGGTGTGATGGCTGGAGGAGGGCTGGGCCTCAGGCCCAGTATCCCCCCCCCCTACCTCCACCCCGCCCAGCCACGTACCCGTGAGCGCTCTCGAGGGGAGGAGGGCAGGCGACAGGCGTCCCGTGCCCTAAAGTGCTTTCTGATGCCAAACCTGGCGCTGCGGTAAGCATCGCCCCATCTGTTCTTATCAACCCTGGCGCTCTACCCCGCGGTGGGAGGCTGGGGTCCCGGCGCCCGCTGGGCCGTACCCAGTGCAGCGTGCGCTCCCGCGCCGCCTCCAGGCGCTCCAGCAACTGCGCGCGCTGCTGGCCCCGCCGGAGCAGCTCGTCCTGCCAGGCGTCCCGCAGCCGCTGCAGCCGCGCGCGCGCCTCCTCCAGCTCCGCCCGCCGCCGGCGCTCCGCGAGCCTCAGCGCGGCCAGCGTGTCCGCGAGGGCATCGAAGCGCGCCACCAGCTCGGGGACCTCCTGGAACTGGAATGGGGCCCGGAGGGGGACTCACCGGGCCTGCAGGCCCTGCCCTCCCCCTGCCACTCGGCTCTCCAGCGCCTCCGCAGCCCACCTGTGAAATGGGGGCATCACCGGCCGCTGCCCCTGAAGGGGAGATGGCTCCACCCCTCCGTTCAGCCATCTAAGCTCACTGCCTGCGACCAATATTCGTTCTGAGCGCCTGGGTCTCCCCCCTCCCGCGCCTGCCCGGGTGTCCTTTCTGAATCTCGGTTTCCCCATCTGTAAAATGGGGTTGACAATAACAGGACCCACTTCACGGGGCCTTGGGGAGAATTCAAGAACAAAGCGTGCCCCTGGCATACAGTTAGTGTTCAGTAAGTGGTGATCCCTGGCATACAGTCAGCGCCCCAGGAGTGCACCCTTTTAAAGCCGCCACTGAGGCCACTCCGCGCCGCACGGTGGCTCCGAGCCCCAAACTGCCTGCAGGGCACTCACCTCCGGCAGCCGCCCCAGCACCTGCTCCAGCAGCCGCGCGCCGGGCCCCAGGCGCTCCAGCCGGCGCTGCAGCCGCGCGCGCTCCCGCTGCAGATCGGCGAGCTGGGCCCGGAGCCGCAGCGCCTCGGCCTCCTGGCGGCCCGCGCGGTGTCGCTCCTCCGCCGCCCTCCGCATCCCGCGGCTACGTCGGGCCTCGGCGTCCTGGGGAGGAGGGATGAACCCGAGGCCAGGACGCTCAGGATTGGGCGCCTGCGGAGCGCGCCCCTTCCTCCCCGGCCCAGCATTAACTAGCACGTGCAGCCATGGATTGCAAACAGATGGCCCGCGGGCCAAACGCAGCCGGAATCTGATTTTGGTCCCTCACTCCTCCCCCACGGTTTTTTAAAAGCGTGAATGCGTCAGTTTTCCCACCACTCCCTTTGTATTAGTACACCAATTTAAAAAATATATACTATTTTGTATTGATTTCAGAGAGGAGGGAGAGGGAGAGAGAGAGATAGAAGCATCCATGATGAGAGAGAATCATTGATTGGCTGCCTCCTGCACGCCCCCTACGGGAGATTGAGACCAACACCAGGCATGTGCCCTGACCCGAAATCAAACCATGACCTCCTGGTTCAGAGGTCGATGCTCAATCACTGAGCCATGCCAGCCAGGCTAGTACACCCATTTTAAAAAATATTTAGCACATAAAAGTTTATTAAACAGTCTATTGATCTTAGACATGGGACATGTTAAATTTATAGAATGATTTTTAGAGAATTGACATTAAAATGATGACTCTTACCATCCATGAATTTGGATTTAGCCAACAGGTATTGAAGTCCCCAACTATAAGAGTACACCCGTTTTTAAACATTTCTGTGACATGTCTGGCCCCTAAGGATTGTGACTTTGTGACCCTGTGACCTGCCTCCCCCAGCAGGCCCCACCCACCTGCAAGAACTTGTCAAAGCGGAAAAAGGACCCCTTTAGCTCCTGCTTCTTCTGTTCCAACTGTTCCCGGCGCTGCATCAGGACTGCCATCCTGTTCTGGAACACCTGGCGTGTGAACATGGGTGTCTGTGTGTTTGGGGGTTCAAGTCACCCAGCGCCTTTAAGTTCACACTTAACTCCTCTCCTCTGTGGTCCCTGATCGTGTCGCTGTGCCCCTCCTCAAATCCACCCACAGCTCCCGCCAGCCGCAAGGAAGCCCAGGTGCCCTCCTGCACCCCCTGCGTGTCCGTGTCCCTGCCCTTTCTCAGGCCTCATCTCCCCCTCCCCCCTCTGACACCCTGTCTTCCGGCCACTTGGCCACCTGTGCTTTGTCCTTGCCTTCCAGTCTCTGTATATGCTGTTTCCTCTTTGTTTCTTCCTTCTCACACTGTCCCCCTTTGATGGATAAGCCAACTTGCCCTTCAGGAATCCCTAAGACACCACTTCCTCCAGGAAGCCCTCCTTGATCACCCTCATGTGGAAATAGGGGCTTTCTCTGGGCTCTTACAGTCCTTCTCAGTGCGTCCCCCTCCTAGCAGTCACCAGCTGTGTCCTTCTCTAGACTGTGAGCCCCTGAGGACAGGGACCATGGTGAGACCCCTATCCGGGCGAGTGCCCTGCACGTAGGTGCTCAGAGAACATTGATTGGCACCAACAACTGATCTCCTTGGATCCCCACTTGACAGGTGAGGAAACCAGGGCTCAGCATGGTGACATGACTTGTCTCAGGCCTGGGAGCTAATAAGTGGGCTCTAGGATTTCCCATTCCCCTGCTCATCACCATTTTTTTGGTCTGGGGTCCCCACAAGTCTCAGGACTACAGTGGGGGCTCACCTCCCTCTGGGCCCGCAGGCTCCGGTCCACATCCACCAGCTCCTGCCTCTTCTGCAGGAGACACAGCACCGGCAGGGAGTGGCTGGGATTCTGTTCCGGGATCTTCCTGGAGGGGCTCACGGAGGAGGTGGGGGTGAAGGAGGGAAGAGTCAGGGCCCCCATCTCCCCCCTAGTGCCTGAAATGCCCCCATTAGCCACCTACTGGATGTGGAATTCTTCATTCATTCATTCATTCATTCACAACAAATTGTACTGAGCACCTAGCAAATGCCAGGCACCATCACAGCACTGGGGCCCCTGCTGGGGACAAGACAGATAGAAAGCGGCCCTGCGGGAGCTGGCATCCCGGGGGCACACACACAGGAGATAAAGCTAATAAATAAGAAGAAGCAATGCCAGGACATGGTAGGTGCCAAGGTGACAAATCCTTCAGTGCGGAAGGGGGTCAAGAAGTCTCTCTGAGGAGGGCCAGAACCTTGGTGAGCGGAAGGGGCGGGAGGGAGGAGAGAGATGGGGGTTACAATCAGAGAAGTTGTGGGGGCCAGAGGGTGGCGAGGGTGGACTTTGGCCTTGACTGTGAGTGAGGTGGGCAGCGGGGAGGCTTCTGAGCAGAGGAGGGGTCCCCCTGGCCTCTGTGGGGGACAAAGACGATAGGAGGGGCAGGAGAGCTGCAGGAGACCGGTGACAGGGTGATGGGGTGACAGACGATGTGGTTCTGATCGGGCGGTTATAGTGCGGAGGGGAGGAGGGGCCGTTCTGGATACAGTTTGAGAGCTGAGCTGATGGGGTGATGAGGGAGGTGAGAGAGGAGTCCGTGCCCTGGCCGGTTTGGCTCAGTGTATGGAGCGTTGGCCTGCGGACTAAAGGGACCTGGATTTGATTCCTGTCAAGGGCACAGGCCCGAGTTGCAGGCTCTATCCCCAGTAGGGGCCGTGCAGGAGGGAGCTGGTCACTGATTCTCTCTCATCATTGATGTTCCTCTCTCTCTCTCTCTCTCTCTCTCTCTCTCTCTCTCTCTCTCTCTCTCTCTCCCTCCCTCCCTTCCCCTCCCTGCGGGCCCAGAAGGAGATGAGCACCCATTGTAGTCCTTTTATTGAAATCAATACAAATATATTTAAAAAAATAGAAAGAAAGGAGTTCGAGGTGAAGCTGGGACTAAGAGCTGGGAGGGTGTTGCTAATGGAAGAAGGCTGAGTGGGGGGAGGCGGCCAGGGGAGATCAGCTCCTTGCTGTGGCCAAGTTGAAACTGAAGACGCCTGTTAGAGCTCCGGGGAGGGGTCCAGCAGGCAGCCCCCTAGGGTCGGCTGTGTAGGGAGCAGGAGGGTTACACTGACTCCATTCGGCAAGCCTTTCCCAGCGCCGGTTCAGGGGAGACGCTGCCATTTTCAGAATCCAAGACGGCGGTTGGGACCCTCAGTCACTCCACGGAACAAACGCAGGCCTGGGACAGGCTTCCTCCACTCTCCCTTTAAAAATGCAGTTTGCAGGCATAGGGGGCAAAAGTTCATAGAAAAATTCCTTCCCACCTGGGTTCAAACCATTTAATCTCAGCTGGATGTCAGCTGGGGTGAGAAGCAAGGGGAGGTTAGAGACCTGGGCTGCTGACCCCCGCTCTGCTCTAACCAGCCCGGGGACGTCAGGGAAGTCCCTAGTTCTCTCCGAGCCTCAGTTGTTTTCATCTGTGAAATGGGGGCGATGATCTCCCACCGTGAACAGGCTGTGGAAGCCAGGATCCAGGACTTGGGAGGGAATGGGCCACCCACTCACTCTTGCCCTCCTTCCGGCCCTCCCTGCCACCCCGAGACACTCACATCGGCAGCTTGTCTTGCAAGGCCAGTCGGAAATCTCTCTCCCAGGACACGGCCATTCTCCTGGCGATTGCTGGGGCTTTCTTTCCACCTGGAGGGTTTCTGATGGAGGGTGGTGCAACAGCGTGTTCGGTACTCCCAGAAGGCAGCCACCAAGCAGGCCCTGGTTGCCCAGACAACCATCAACGCAACATTCCATTGCCTGGCTGAGGCCCGGGAAATCCACCCGGGGAGGGAGAGGGCGGGGCTGCTGGGAGGGCAGCAGCCTCTGCCCCTTCCGGGGGCTTTAACTCCCCGTCTAAATTGGGGTGCCAGAGGAGAGGACGTGGGTCCCTTGGCCAAGAATTCACCCCTCTTGGAGACCCATGTCTGGTCAGGCCTCTTCCTGGCTGGGTGGGATGGGACCTCGCTAACGTGGCTCTATGCTCAGATGTCTGCTATTATTGGGCACCCACTGTTGGCCAGGTCGTGGGTGGGGTCACTTACTCCCCTGCAAGGTGCCGAGGGCCTACCATGTTCCAGACCCTTGAGGGTCCACTTCCTTTGCTGGGGATGGGGCTCCCCTGGCCACGCCTCACGGAGGGAGCCCCGGGCCTGGCTAGGGAGCTAAAGAGGACCAGCTGGAGACCAGCTGGGAAGAGACCCGTGATCTGGATTTGGAGGCTGGGGGTAGGGGAGCAGCTGACGTGGTTTAGGCAATTACTGTGGGTCAGACACAGTGCTAAGTAATTCAGGTAGCCACACATCTAGGAGAACGACTTGTAAAAAACTGGCAGCACCAACTCCTGGCTATGGAGCCATCGGAACTCTCAAAAAGTAATTCAGTGTCGGATTTAATCCGTGAACAGCACTGCAGAGGTGGTATTAGGGGCAAGTACTCAGTAACATTACGAACACCCATGGATATGCCCCAGCCGGCTTGGCTCAGTGGATAGAGCGCGGGCCTGCGGACTGAAGGATCTCGGGTTCGATTCCGGTCAAGGGCACATGCCTGGGTTGTGGGCTCGATCCCCTCAGTAGGGGGCGTGCAGGAGGCACCCGATCAATGATTCTCTCTCCTCATTGATGTTTCTCTCTCTCTCTCCCTCTCTCAAATAAGTAAAAATATATTTAAAAAAAAAAACCCCACACAAACTCACGCATCCTCCCCACTTTAAAATTGTGAAAGTGGCTCTTAGTTAAAAAAAGAAAGAAATGTATTTTCATATTGCAGGTAACACTATTTAAAAACTATAATTACTTATAAACGCCTGTATTGCTTAAAACAACTGCTAAGCATTTTATTGGAGCATATTTTTAAAAATGGAACTAAAATAATGTTATCTTTGAGCACTTTGCAGTAAACTGTAGACTATCCACATACATTGATGTGACGTGACAAGGTACATGATCTAGATTTTTCCTGATTTTAAAAAAATATTGAGATATAATTGAATAAAGTAAAATTCACTTTTCCCACATACGGTTCTGTGAATTTTGGCTAATACAGAAAGGCATGTAACCACCACCACAGTCAAGATACAAAACGTTTGCCCCAAAAGTTCTCATGTCCCTTTGTACTCAACCCTTGTCCCCACCCCAGCCCTTGGCCGCCACTGACCTGTTCTCTAGCCCTATAATTTTGCCTTTTTCAGAAAGTCATGAATAGAACCTATACCAGCGGTTCTTAACCTGTGGGTCGCGACCCCTCTGGCGGTCGAACGACCCTTTCACAGGGGTCGCCTAAGACCATCCTGCATATCAGATATTTACATGACGATTCATCACAGTAGCAACATGACAGTTATGAAGTAGCAACGAAAATAATTTTATGGTTGGGTCACAACATGAGGAACTGTATTTAAAGGGCCAGAAGGTTGAGAACCACTGACCTATACCTTGTAGCCTTTCGAGTTTGGTTTCTTTCATTTAGCAATATTCATTCTTTTCTTTTTTAAATATTTTTTTTATTGATTTCAGAGAGGAAGGAAGAGGGAGAGAGAAATAGAAGCATCCATGATGAGAGAGAATCATGGATCGGCCGCCTCCTACAAGCCCCCCACTGGGGATCACTGGGGATCAAGCCCACAACCCAGGCATGTGCCCTTGACTGGAATCGAACCTGGGACCTTTTGGTTCACAGGCTGATGCTCTATCCACTGAGCCAAACCAGCTAGGGCTAGCAATATTCATTCTTGATCCATTCATGTTGGTGTGTGAATCAGCAAGGTACATCCTTTTTCACTGCTGAGTAGAATTTCACGGTATGGTTTGTCCATTCACCTTCCAGTTGGGTTAGTTCTAGTTCTCGGCAATTATGGTATCAAGATAGTATTTCCATGCATTTTTTTGTGTGTGAACGTAAGCTTTCGTTGGGTCCTGTGATAAGTGTTCATTCAACTGTATAAAACGCAGTAAACTGGTTTGTAGTGTGCCTTACCGTTTTGCTATTCACACGAGCCATGCATGAGAGTTCTGACTGCTCCATCCATAGCTTCGCCAGGTGTTGGTATTGCCAGTTTAAAAAAAAATTTTTTAAATTGATTTCAGAGAGGGACAGGGATAGAAACATCAGTGATGAGAGAGAATCATCAACTGGAGGCCTCCTGCACACCCCACACTGGGGATCAAGCCCGCAACTCGGGCATGTGCCCTGACCAAGAATCAAACTCTGACCTCCTGGTTCATAGGTCGACACTTAACCACTGAGCCATGCTGGCTGGGCTGCCAGTGTTTCTTACAAAGTCATTCTGATAGATGTGTAGCGATCTATTGATTCTGAGATCATTGTAGATTCAGCTGCAGTTTAAAAAAATTATACAAAGAGGTGCCATACCCCTTCACCCAGTGCCCCCCCCCCCCCCCGTGGCGACTTCTTGCACAACTATACACTATCACAACCAGGAAATTGGCTTTGAGAATCCACTGACCTTACTCAGATTTCATTTGGACGACTGTGTATTCAGTTCTATGCAGTTTTATCTCATTTGGACACTGGCGATCGCCACAGTCCAGATACAAAACATTCATCTCAAAGGTCCCTCCTGCCCGCCTCCCTAACCCCTGGCACCCATTCATCTGTTCTCTGTGTGGTTTGGTCACATCAGGGAGGTTATATAATTGGAATCACATAGCATGTAACCTTTTGAGAGTGGCTTTTAAAAATATTTACTTTTATTGATTTCAGAGAGGGAGAGATAGAAACATCAATGATGAGAGAGAATCATGGATTGGCCTCCTCCTGCATGCCCCCTACTGGGAATTGAACCCACAACCCGGGCATGAGACCAGAATCGAACCTGGGACCTTTCGTCCGCAGGCTGACGGTCTATCCACTGAGCCACACCAGCTAGGGTGAGAGTGGCCTTCTTCACTCAGCTGCATCCCCTTGAGAGCCATGCTCATTGCTACCTGTCTCCATGTTTGTTCTTTATTATCACTAAGCAGCATTCCACAGCAGGAATGGCCAATGTTTGTTTAACATTCAGGTGGAAGGACGTTTGGGTTGTTTCCAGTTCAGGGCTATTATGAATAAAGCCACTCTGAAGATTCAGGTCCTGAATTCTGTATGAACCTAAGTTATCATTTCTCTGGCATAGCAGCTGCCCAAGAGCATAACTGCTGGGTCCTACGGGACATGCCTGCTTAGTTTTAGTTTTGTTTTTATTTTTATTTTTTAAAAAGATATATTTTATTGATTTTTCACAGAGAGGAAGGGAGAGGGATAGAGAGTTAGAAACATCGACGCGAGAGAAACATCGATCAGCCGCCTCCTGCACGCCCCCTACTGGGGATGTGCCCGCAACCCAGGTACATGCCCTTGGCCGGAATCGAACCTGGGACCCTTCAGCCCACAGACCGACGCTCTATCCACTGAGCCAGACCGGTTAGGGCTAGTTTTGTTTTTAAAGAAACTGCCATATTCCTTTCCAGAGCGGCGGTGCCATTTTATATTCCAACCAGCAGCGTGGGAGCGATCTAGTTTTCTGCATCCTCACTGTTACCCCCCCCCCCCCCCCCTTTTAGACATGCTGACAGGTGTGTTGTGGTATTTCATTTCTCTAATGCCAATGGTGATGAACGCCTTCTCAGGTGCTTGTTTGCCATCCGCAATCCTCCTCAGCAAATTATCTGTCCACGACCGTCGCCTGTGCTCTAACTCGATTGTTCTCTTTCCCGCTGTCGAGTGCCGAGACGTCTGCCCGCATATGTCTCCGTGCTCCGGGGGAGCCTCTGTCGAACGTGAGCTTCCCCCCAGGCTGCAGCCTCTCTTTTCATCCTCTCCCACGATCTTCGATGAGGTGCAATCTGCCACCGTTTCCTTTATGGGTCGTGCTTTTGGTATCAAATCCAAGATGGGATTTGAACTCAGGCCGTCTGGGTGTAGAGTCACCTTCTTAACCACAACACTGCAGATACAGGTGAGCCCTTCTTGGGTCTTTCCTTCCTCAGGCTCATTCCCGCCCCCAAGATGCCATCATCTCGAAGCCAGCATGCATCCTTCCTTTCTTAACGTCTATTGTTTTAGGGGTGTATGTTTGCAAATGTTTCTTGAGCACCTGCTATGTACCAGATACTATGTGAGGGTGCAGCAGCGGATCAGACAAGACCTGTCTTCATGGGGCTTGCAGGCTAATGGGGAGGCCAAGTGAGTCAAATAGTCTTCTAGCCCTAGCTTGTTTGGCTCGGTGAAGAGAGGATCAGCCTGCGGACTGAAGGGTCCCAGGTTCGATTCTGGTCAAGGGCACATGCCCAGGTTGCGGGCTCAATCCCCAGTGGGGGGCATGCAGGAGGCAGCTGATCGATGATTCTCATCATTGATGTTTCTATCTCTCTCTCTCTTCCTTCCTCTCTGAAATCAATAAAAATATTTAAAAAATAGTCTTGTAAATATGTCATTACACTCTGATAGGGTGAGGGGAGGTCTAGAGTACAAGGAGGGGTCAGGGAGGCCTCCTGAGGAAGTGACATGTCAACCCAGACCTGAAGGAGGAGGAGTGGTGAGAAGAGGAGTGGGGCAGTATTCCAAGTAGAGAAAACAGCATGTGCAAAGGTCCTGAGGCAGGAGGACGGGGCCCTCCTAGAAGAGAACAAAGGCCTGTGGGTTGGTGTGAAGAATTCAAGGATGATGGGGTAGGTCAGGCCTGGATAGGGCCAAGGAGTGGCCACACCTGTGCTACAAGCGACACATGAGGGAGTTAGGTGACTC